CCCAGTTGGGACCAGTTAGTCCCAGTTGAAACCAGTTGAGGTGCCAACTGGTCCCAGTTAGAAATTTTCGCCTGGGATGTATGTGTAAATTTCAGCTGAAATTGTATTGTGTTTTCCTTTTGATATGTTCATGTGCTATTGAGAGTGCTAAACGATAATCTGTTCTGTACGTCATTCCAGTTATCTGCTGAACGCCTGGTCGTGTACAAGCGGAAGCTGCAGCGTGGTATCGGCTGTGACGTGTTACTACAAGCAACGGACCATCGTGATTTCATTCAACGAAGAGAAGCGTGCAGCCCCGCCCATGGTACCAGACCCAAGCGACCTCTGAGCAAGAAATCCTGCCATAAAAGCCGTCACCAACGTGAGCCGCAGCATTCTGGCGGCAGCAGCGACGAGCAACAGCAACAAACGATAATCTGTTCTGTACGTCATTCCAGGTTGGTTTATTTCACTATCATTCCTAAGGCAATTATATCCTTGTCGCTGCTGCTGCCTGTTGTGCCTGCTATTTGGTCTATGCACGCTATTAAAGATGACCGATACGCTGTGTTTGAAATGCCAAGAGGAAATCCTCGATGATGAGCAGTCAATTACGTGTAGTGAATGCGGTTCCACGTATCATTGCGGTAGTTGTGCGGGAATCTCTGAAGTAACACTAAAAACAAAGGGCGAAACCTATCGTAGCGCGTGGAAATGCCCCACTTGTCGAAGCTCAAAACTTAAGAAAGGCGCGACCAATAAACCGAAATCGGATGTTGACGTATCGACCATGTTAGTTTCCATGAACAACAAATTAGATGAACTCTTAGATCTCAAAGAAACTGTAGGAGGCATCGAAGCATCCATTAGCATGATGTCGGCAAAATATGATGAAATATTAGAAAGTGTCAAAGAACAGAGGGAAGAAATTAAACAACTAAAAAGTAAAGTGGCGGAACTCGAGGGAAAAGACAATGGTGAGGAGGTGAAGCGGCTCAGGAATGAACTTCATGACCTCGAATGGAGAAACCGAAAGCTCAACCTTGAATTTCACGGTATCACAAAGACGAAAGACGAGGATCTAATGAGCAAAATAATTGAAATAGCTCCCAGCCTAGAACTGCCTGAGTTAGCTGAAGCCGAAGTAACAGCCATTCACCGTCTGCCCTCAAAGCCAGATAAAATCCCTGGCATTATTGTCCGCTTTGCTTCGCAAACAACAAGGGACGCATGGTTGAGCAGGAGGGGAAAGTTACGAAACACTGGAAACAAATACTTCATTAATGAAAATCTGACGAAGCAAAATCGTGAACTACTAGCCAAGGCAAAAGAATGGACGAAGAGAAAAGGCTTCATGTACGTATGGCATCGGAATGGAAAAGTCTTTATCAGGCGCAAAGATGGTGATGACGCCTATGTGATTAGAAGCGAAGATGATCTGAAAGCTATCCATTCGTAGCTCGAGGTCTTTATCGTCTAGATACTAGGGCCTTCGCAATTCATGAAAGAATCACCATACGTACTTCCTGCTGATTTTTCACAATATCTTGAACGCAGTTGTGAGTCGTCACTGAAAGTTTTTCATTTAAATGCAAGGTCTGCTAGAAATAAAGTAACAGATCTTGAGTGTCTTTTTAGCCAGTTTTCAATTAAATTCAATATAATTATGTTTACCGAGACATGGTATACTGAGGAAGAAGATGTTTTTAGGCTGCCATCTTATAACCACTACTGTTTAAATCGTGTTTCTAATCGTGGCGGAGGTGTATGTTTGTTGATTGAAGAAAGCATCAAAACCGAATTATTATCTACTTTTTGTACTATGACAAAGGATTATGAAGTGTTATCTTTGGTGGCAGAAAATATGCTTATATCTGTGGTTTACCGTCCACCCGATGGCAATATTAATACTTTTCTTGCATATTTTGAGGGGCTTTTGGGATTCGGTAGTGATAATAACTTGAAGGTAATCATTGGAGGAGATTTAAATATTAATATGCTACTTGATACTACGCCTAGAACTGAATTTGAAATATTACTTACAACGTATGGATATGCTAACATAATAACTCTACCAACAAGAATTACAGTGCACACGGAAACTCTTATTGACCTTTTTATTACAAACATTGATCACGTATGTCTGAAAGCTGGTATACTTACCACCCATATAAGCGATCCCCTACCTATATTCCTATGCGTAAATGATAGTCTTTCTCACAAAAAAAAAAAATGCAGAGTCATTTAGGCACTTTCAGCATATCACCCCTTATAATCTGGACATGTTTCGTAATGATATTGAAAATGCTGACTGGAACAATGTTTTTGCTGCAACAGACCCTGATGTAGCTTACGACACGTTCCTAGAGAGTTTTAAACGCCTGCATATAAAAAATTTTCCTTACAAAAAAACGAAAAAATCACGTAGAATTCGGAAACCATGGATTACCCCAAGTCTTTTATCGAAAATTAAGGAAAAAAACAAGTTATTCCAAAGATTTAACAAATCAAGAAGTCAAGATGATTTGACAAAGTTTAAAGCTTATCGCAACCAGTTAACGAAGGAACTAAGAACCGCTAGGGAACGGTATTATCACAATAGTTTTAGATCTTCAGCTGGACGTATTGATGTTATTTGGAAAAAAGTAAACTCAATTAGGAAAAATAATCAGAACCATGACAACATAGATAGATTGCATATTAACGGCGAAGAAGTTAAAGATACTGCTTTAGCTAATGTATTTAATGATTACTTTGTAAATCTAGTTTCTCTAGCTCACGACAATAAGGCTTGCGAGTATATTAAATATAGAAACTTAAATTCAATATTCTTAGATCCCGTTAGCGATTCCGAGGTCTTTAATGTATTTATGAACTTAAATAATACATGCAGTAGAGATGCAGATGATATTCAAATTAGACCCGTAAAATATGTATTAGATTTAGTCGTGCATTGTTTAACTCGTATATTTAACTTGTGTTTATCTGCAGGTATATTTCCAAAACGTATGCTGATTGCCAAAGTTTCTGTACTGCATAAGAAAGGTGATAAGAATGACATTAATAACTATAGACCTGTTTCAATACTTCCCGTGTTTTCAAAAGGGCTTGAAAAACTTATTCATGTGAGATTGTCAAATTTTTTCGAAAAGTATGAACTCATTACAAGGTCGCAGTTTGGATTTCAAAAACATTGTTCTACGGAACTTGCCTTACTTGAAGAAAAAGAATTTATCTTACGCAACTTAGAGGACAAGAAACTTGTTTTAGGGGTTTATATTGATTTTACTAAAGCTTTCGATTATTTAAACCACGAATTGTTACTACAAAAACTTGAATTTTATGGTGTTCGGGGCAAGCCTTGCATCTACTACGGTCCTATCTCGAAAATCGGAAACAATATGTGTGTTGCGGTAACTTTTGTTCTAATATAAAACAAATTTCCTCAGGGTTACCACAGGGAAGTATTTTAGGTCCATTTCTTTTTAATGTCTATGTAAATGATATAGTAAATATTGACCAGTCTATTAAAATTGTAATGTATGCAGACGATACAACACTTATCTATGCTTCTGATAATGCAGAAGAGCTCGTGTCAAAAATTAATTTAGTATTAGATAAAATATCATCATGGACCAACAGGAACGCTCTAAAAATAAATACTAGCAAAACTAAAGCTGTTATATTTCGGACAAAACATAAAGTTATTCCATCAATATGTAGGATAACCTTAAACTCAGTAGACATCGAATTGGTAGAGAATTTTAAAACACTTGGTGTAGTATTTTCTCATAATATGACCTGGGACCATCATATTGCGTATCTAAATAAAAAGCTATCTAAGGTTGTAGGGCTGATATGCAGGCACCGGTATCTACTTCCAACATCGATTAAACTCTTGTTATATAAATCATTATTTTATTCTCATTTTATTCAGCACAACTACAATAACAAACTTGGAGAAAGTACATTTAATTCAAAAAAGAATACTAAGAACTATTGCAAACGCACCCTATTTGTCGCATACAGAAAACTTATTCAAAATTTATAATATACTTAGTATCAAAAATATGTATAGCTATAGACTATCCACAAGCCTTAAAAAAGAATTGCAACATAAAACCTCTTCCTTGGTAACATTGTCAAATTTACAAAAACATGTTTTAACGTATCAAACTCGTAACCCCGATTATTGGCAAATACCAACGTGTCGATTGAATGTTGGCAAAGAAATGTTAGCCTACCGAGTCCCAAGACTTCTCAATTCACTAATTTTACACAATATTGATATGGATAAATTGAGTTTAAATGAATTACGTTCTGTCATGTATACCTTTGATGTAGTCTACTGATATTTGGTTTTGTATATCTTCGATATTATATCTCTATGTTCTCGGTAAGTTGTTAATAATTCCCTTCATGTCCATGTATTTGTATTTATTATGTAAGCGTAGATTTTGTACATTGATATGCTTTAAAGATTAACTAGGTAATTGATATCCGTTAAATGTGCTTATTCTTTGATTGAATGCCTTTGTATTTTATTTTGTTCCCTCTGACTGCTGCTGAATGTAACTGGGGCCGAGAGCTTGTCAAGCCATCTATCGCGGCTTTTATTCTCGGCCCCATCATTACCTGTAATGGGAAATGAAAAATAAAGCTTATTATTATTATTATTATTATTAGAAGTAATACCTTCGTGATTTTTCCAAGTTATTTTGCTTGTTGTAAGTTTGGCGCAATTGTGTAACTTTACTTCAGCCGACGCTGCGAGGCAATGAGATCAATCAAACACAAACTATGTCTGAGCGCAAGTCACTAGGCCTTTTATGTTAAGACAAGTTTAATGAAACGTAAAAAAAAAAAGAAAAAAAAATTGCAGATTTTGACGTTGGACGGCGAAATAGTCACTGCCATCTCTAGAAATCCCTAGGGCAGCGTGAACAGGGGAATTTCAGCGTGAACAGGGAAATTTCCCTAGCGCATGCGTACAAAGTCGAACTGGTCGAACTTTGGTCGAACTTTTGCTGAGGTTCTCCGGAAAGTGCGGTGTGTTTCGCCAAGCTGAATATCCGGTTCCGAATCTTTGCTTTTTGCTCCAACTGCGTTTCCCTCTGCCATCTCTACTTGGCAGGTTCGCGAAACCTCTATCGCTCTAACCGCAGTCAATGTCGCTATCATCGCTACCCCCTCACAGCTTTCTTTTACATACCTCTGATATCCCAAGCGCTATGCGCCTTGCCAGCCTTGCTTTCACGAAGGAACCTCTCGTGGAACAATGATTGATTTCGGTGATACACGTAGCCATATCCGTCCGTGAAGTATCATGCTGGATAAGAGCAACAAACCCTTGCTCCCACTGTCTAATGGATCATATCCACCGATGCTTTCTCTCAACTATCGATACTGTCTGAGCCTGCCTGGAATCCTGAAGCTAATCGAAATGGTAAGCGAGCCATCTTGTGTTTACCTCAGCATTACGCTTCTGCAGTCTCGGTCACGCCACTTTTCGCACCTGCACTGCCTGCACCACGAAATGCGACGGGAAAGGTGTTTATCGTAGTATGCTTGATGGAGGTGACCCGATGATTTTTGTAAGCGCTAATTGCCTCACGAGCGAGTTGTGCGTTGGCACTAACGGTTGATTGTTTGTAATATGGGCTAGTATATTCAGGAATATTGTGCCAACAATGCACGTGAGCGGTGCGAACAGGTTCACACCTGTGGGAACTCGTTTCTGTTTGTCCAGTGTTATTTGGGCGACAAACCCACGTTCATGTTGGAGTGAAACGTCTCAGGAGAAGGCACCATGGTGGAGTTAGTAATCAGACACTTTTCGTTAGCAGACGGACGCCGTATGTAGGAATTCAACTTAAGTTTGTTCTGTTTACTTTTTATACCCTTAATGCACGTTCTTGGGCCACCTGTGTACAAAAATCTCATTCACACATCGATTTATACGGTTCCTGCAAACAGCCATCAATCCTTTTGCTTCGCGCTGTAGTTCATCGTGCAATCGACAAGAATGCGTGGAATGCCGAGCGGCTCGCTCACGCCCTTGCATGGTCTTTTGCAGATGCTCAATGTGGCGTGCATCCACCTGATGCTGCAGTACTGTAACCCAACGTACACGGCCGTCACGTGGGGTTTCCTGGGCAACACGGACGAGACCCTCTTCATCCTCATCAACTTCAGCGCTCTCATGATGAATGCCCTCTTTTTCATCTCATGCATCCTTTCGGTCGCCACAGCTGTGGCCCTGTCCAAGTCTGTCCTTGTGCGTTGCCCTGCCCAAGGGGGGGCATTTTTCTTTCTTAGCTGCACATAGCTGACAGATCACTTGCACAAGGTGCATTATTGTATCCGCCGGGCTCTCCGAGGAATGTCAACAGGGATGAAATTGGCAATCCTGTGTTTGAAGACAAGGGAAGTCTCACACTCTTCCCTCGTCTGTAAATTGGTTAATTTCGTTAAACTATTGCTCGGCCAGCTTTTGCTCTCTCAACCTTTAGTTAAACTAGTGCTAGGCCAGCTTTTGCTCTTTCAACCTTAGTGTATTGTAACTCACTACCACATCACTTTTTTTTCTTTCTTTCTTAGCGTGTCCTAGTGTGTTAGGAAGAAAAAGGTGGTGGGGATAAACATTTTAATGATTCTTAGAAGCCTCAGATATGACTCCGAAAAACCAGACAATATTTTTTGTTGCGGATGGTGTGGGCACGAACACGTGTCAATTTTCACAATGTGTAATTTCAGACTTTCTAATGTGTGGTATTTTTATGGAATATTGAATGTAGTTTACCTGTTTGCTTACAAATTTGTTCAAAGTTTAAACCTTTCAAATGGAGGTTCTGCGTGCTATCATATAAAGCTGTGTTTCTCAACCATCAATAGGGTTACCAACTCTTCAATGAAGGAAGTCGGGACGGGACGGGGGGGGGGGGGGGGGGGGTGAAGGGTGCAGCACGGGGGAGGGGGAGGGAGATACAAAGCGGTTTATACAAACACGCGCCCGCTGCGATTTACGGCTTGCCATTGCTCTTGCATGCTAAAGTGGCTAATTCCTCGCAGCCGACACTAGACACCACAGCATTGCTTCGTGTTGCGCAGCGTGGCGTGCATTGTTGGGCGTACGTTGGATCACATATAAGATTTCTAACTGGACCGTCTGGGCCAAATCCGGGACATATAGCTGTCCCGACGATGCGGGACTCTGGACGCTTTATGAAAAGTCGGGACAGTCCCGCAAAATCCGGGACGGTTGGTAACCCTAACCATCAATGTTTCGCAGACCTCTTTAAGATCGGCGGAGATGATGGAGGACCCCGTTCATGGTAAAGGGAGGGGAAAGGTGCAGGATAAATATGATAATGATTTAATAAATTTATATGACTAAGGGCTAGTGTGAAGTAGACTTCTCTTATTGACATACAAGAAAACTCGCCGGAAAACTGAAACTTTTCTTTTTGATCTGAAAAATTACAACTTTTATTGCCGGGCTTTACTGATGAGGCAGGGCTTTGCGGACCCCTAGAATGCCTTTGCGGAACCCGAAGGGTCCGCGGACCCTCATTTGAGAACCACTGATATAAAGTAATATATATTTTAGATTTTTTTGTTGCCAAGTGGTGGTGCCAGAGCGATTTCTGCAAGTGCGTAGCCTTATTCCTTCTGTTATGGTGATATGAATTTCCTTTCATATAAACCGGCTTTGCAGCTTATTATTAACATCAGCCCAGAGTGTGCATGCAATCTGTGCTTAGCACAGAAAATGCATTAAGCAACTTTAACCAAGTTTTACATTTCTTTAAATATAGTTTTACACTCATGACTCTTTAATACGGACCCCATTAATATGGATACCCTGCTATATGGATAACACTTTTAGGGGTGAACTGGGTAAATACGTGCATTTTTGCCTTATTATTATGGACAACTCACACTATGGACGCTTTTTGGGGGGAGCGGAGTGTTCATATTAACAAGACATCATTGTATTAGAAAGAGCATTCTAGGAAAGACAGTCACCATTTATCTTGACTTCTTTTAAGCATAATCTGCTTGCTGAAACAAGTGACATGTCAAAATCAGTTCATAAGTATTGTTTTGGTATAAAAGAGACAGTGCCGTCTACCATAAAAAAATAGGAGTGCATGTGTGGCCGAGTATACTAACACTTGCATCGGCTCTCATAGTAAAATTGTGGGGTCATACTTTAAATACTTTTTGAAGAATAGGGGTTTGAATCTGATTTCGCTGCATCACTCATAGCTATTACTGTGCAAAGGAAAGACATAGAATCCTGGTTCTCTTTACAATATTGAAACTAGGGATGACGCCGTGATTTTCGACTTAAAGCGTTATTCGCAGACCCCTAGAAACTTGTTTCACAGGAAGAGAAATCTTCCAAACCTATGAGAACCAAATTGCCATTAAGTGCTAGTAGAACCATAGTGTCAGAATTACATGTCCAGCGTGATGTTGGAACTTGCCACTTTTTCATAATACTCAAGCAGGTTAGTGCCGAGCAGCAAATGTCAGTACTTATAATTGGCACCCTGAGTAAGACGCATTCCAGTAGAGTAGAAGTTTCGATGATGTTATTTCAGCTGCGGGAGAGAAAAAGGAAGGAAAATAGCATTCGTTTCATGTTTATGCTGACTGTGTTGTGCTCTGTACAGATGCTCAGTGAGGTGTGAGGAGTATGTAGATTTAATATATTTTTTTTTTATATTTCACAAAAGACTGACTAGACTGAAGTGTTTGAAATCCTAATGCGGTATTATTCTGGCATAAGCATAGAGAAATGTCGAACTTTGTAACATCTTAAAGGGATACCGAACCGAAATTTGGATTTCGCAAAATTAGGCCGCAGAAGCATTGAACGGGATGCTACAAACTCTAAAACATCACTTATACATTGATATCTCAAACGGATGGCCCTACTTTTGGAAAAGAAGGGCGCGATCGAGCGAGCTCTTTGACGTCATTGTCCTCCGGGAGGATTTGAGAATGAGGGGAAGCGGCCTCGCTTCTTTCCTCCTTGCTTCAATTCACTGGCTCTACGGGATGTAGCGAGGAGGGGAGGGAATGGGAATCGTGACGTGCCTTGTCTCGTAAGCCGTGTTCAATCGCGCACTTCTTTTCCAAAAATACGGCTATCCGTTAGAGATATTGCTGTATGAGTGATGTTTTTGGGTTTTTGCAGCGTCCCGCCTATCTGTCAAGCCTTGTTTTGTGAGCTTGAAATTTCGGTTCAGTATCCCTTTAAACACCCGAGACTAGGAACAAACAGTGTTTCTTTCTTAAGCTTTTAAACAGAGAGAAAAACGAAAAAACCTAATCTAATAGACCAATCTCGCTAAACATTCCATGCATGCTTGATGCTGCCATAATTGTAGTTGACAGGAGACACGCGCCAGTTGATGAGTGCTGTCTCGTGGTCTGCTCGTGCAAACCTGCAGTGCAGTTGTCGTGCATGATGCATGCCGGCAGTGGTGGCATAACAAAACTGGCTTGTGAGATCGGTCTATTATAAACTAGGTTTCTCTTGCACTATAAGTGAAACAATACCTGAGTGGCATTCGTGATATGACTGAACCACATATTGCTCCTCTTTTTGCAGGATGTGATGGGGAACATCGCTCACTTTTTCATTTGCATTGGAAGCAGTTTGGTGCTCCTGTCATCTGTTGTCACTCACCAACCTACCACAAAGTACAAAGAGTACATTTTCCAGGGAAAAGTGACTGTTTCGGTAAGCTTCCTAGAGGTGCTTGTGTCTTAGGAGTGAAAATGTAATGAGGATAGCTTTCATTTGGCTTGTTTCTTACTTGTTAATGTTTCTAGCTTCAAGGAGGTAGGCCATGAAGGGCAAGTATAACGAGGCCCTTCATAGTTTACAGAAACCGAATGCAAAGGTTTAATAGTCCAGAAAACTTTGCAATTAAAAAAATATGTTGTCGTTAGCATGAGTGAATGACTATAGTCTAGCTATTTTGGGAAATGAGTGCCTCAACCTTCATGTAGATTGGTGCTCGAAGTACCACTTCCAGCTTGTACCCTCGAGGGCATACCTTTGTCTCTGCGAGATACAAATTTTGAAGCCACATTTTTTTGCATGATTTCACACTTTTTCGTATTTTACAGTACACATTTTATCTTGCAGAATAGACAATACTTCGTTTACAACATCTCTTCTTATTTGTTTACTTTTGACAGAACTAGGCATCACAAGCTCCCTGGCAAGGAGCTTGGTGAGCCTATAGTCCGGGCGGGGGTAAGACAGGCCGGGGAGAGGAAGCAGACAACACTAAAGAGAAAGGGAGGTTTCCCCCTCCCTTCTCCAGCGTTCTGTCTGCTTCCTCAGCCCATCTTTACCTCGCCCTACCCTCTTGAGTTGCAACGGGCTATAGTAGTCATATAAGAATTAAATGTCACGAAAGAAGTTCCTCAGCAAGGCGCTCTAAAGGGCAACTCTACTTCATTTTAAATATTGAGAGAACAATGCACTTTCTTTTGGTATCAACTAGAAAGACCACACGCCAAATATTATGACGTAATTCAGCCTAAAAGTTGACGAAACTGGCCGACAAAGTTTGAGATAAGCCAAGTCACTAAAATCTACTACTTCTAGCAGACGGGGTGTGGCACACTCAGTGGTGGTGTGTTGGTGCAACCAACACTGAGCTAATTACGTGCAAGCATTACAATTTTTTCGCTTGTTTTTTTACTTTTCTAAGCAAAATTTGCAGGCAGCACTAGCAATGTGCTCTTTGTTGTCCACGTGATTTGTGGAACACACATGCACCAGTGTTCACTTGCATGCTTTAATGCTTCGTCATGAATGAAATACACAACCCCTCACCGTCCCAATAGCGTTTTATTTACATTGCACAGGCCCTATCTCCGATGCCCAGCTACGATAGCAGGTAGAAGAAGCAAAGGCTATTGACGTTGTGTCCAACTTTAGTTTCTCTAATAGCCGCGTCCCACTAGAGCGACAGACAGTAACAAACCACAGCGACACACGACAACGAACGACACCGACAGACAGCCTGTTTGTCGGAGTCCGCCGTCCCACCTGGCGGACACGACGCAGGACACGACGACAAGGAAACTTCTTTCCTAGTGGGACTGTAGTTGTCAACAGAACACTTCAAAATACGCAGACAAACTGAGTCTGGCGACATGGTTTTCGTGTTTTGCTTTTTGGGCATAAAACGCGCCGACAAACACGGTGAAATTGGAGACAATTACTTTATTTCTTGATTAAAACTTCCGCTTGTCTTCATTTGCCATTGGCGACTTTCCACAAACAGTCGTGACAATCGACACCACACTTTTTCTGAACTAGAATACACAAAACATTCCTTTTTTGGGTCGTTCAAGGAATTCTAGGTGAGCGCCACGGAATTTAACGCCAACTTTGAGGATGTTTATAACTCCATATCCGAACGATCGTGGGCAGGCGTTTTTTGGTGGACAATACGGCATCCCGATTATCACAGAACGTGACGACAAGCCTCTGGTCTGCCGGAGTGGCTTGCCGCGGAACGTCGTGTCCTACTTCATGGTGGGCCGTCTTATTTTGGTCAGTCCTCGAAAGTCGGTGTATCCATCCTGATGCAGGAGCGTAGACGTCGGCGTGTTGAAGCACCACATCGCGCACCAAGTTTTTGCGAGCGAAACCAGCCACAGCAAATTCCCTTTCGCAACACGACCGCTCGGCGACAGCAAGCGGGCCGCGCCCGCGACCACTACGAGCAATCAAGGGACCGGAACTGTGGGAACAAGGAGTGGCCGCCAAGGGCTTCTCTGAAGGTCGAGCAACGGAGCGAGTCACGGGAGGAAGGGGAGAAGGGTGGGAAGGGAGGCAATAGAAGGCACAAGCGGGCGAGGAGGATTAGTTTGTCTCCGAGAGTTGTTCCTCGGTGAGATTGCTTGCTCCGCTTCAAGTCCAACGACGGACAAGAACTCGTCCGTTGGTGCTTGTCCGCGATTGTCGAGGGTGTTGGTCGTTGCAGTGGGACAGCATCGGCGACACGGAACTTTGTGGTGTCGTCGGACAAATATCGGTGTTTGTCGCTCTAGTGGGACGAGGCTATAACTGTCAGTTGTACAGCCCAGGAGTTGCATTTCACAAGTTCCCCCGCGACAGTGCATTTAGGAAACTCTGGAGGAACACCATGTGCCGATGTAACTTTTGGAATCCCTTGTCGCCATATGGCAGTACAATGTGGATGCTGAGCACATCCTACGGCATGCCAGGTGTTTCGTCGTGTATGTGTCTAAATTTATGCTCCATTTTGCGTAGCAATGTGGCCCGAGGATGGAGCTTTGATATGACCTAAAGTAGAGTGAGTGCCCAATCAACTGGGTGAATATCCATACCTTTTGGTATACGACTTTTAAAACAGAGTACAGATTGTGATAGCGAGATTTAGAAGTGTCAATATGTCTTTCGTCGCACAACGTTGATGGAGGGACCCTTTTTCCCGAGAGCTCTACAGTTGCTGCTGCATACGACTATGTAATAAGCAATTGTGGCGGATGACTCGTACGATCTAGCATACAACTTAGGAGAGCTTCGTGGAGGGTCATAAACACAGATATGTGGTTGTTTGCAACAATGTGCTATAAGCAATGTTATCGTGAGAATGGACCTTCTTCAAGTAACGAGCGCCGTCTGGGGAGTCGTCTGTGAACTACAAATGAAGGGCAGCTCAACATCCCTCCGCCCGTCAAAACACATTGGCATCGTGTGAAGATAGATACTGACAATGTTGCTGTCGCCATTTTCGCAGGGCACTCGATGTGCAGAAGCTTAGTAGAAAAAGGTCCATTAATGAATGCAGTACACTGTTGACGTGCTAGACTTCCTTCGTTCCGGTGGAAATTGAGCATGCAGACCTCTTTATACTAGTCGCAACATATTTCTTTTACTAATATTTCCAAAACATGCCTGTGGTTGACTTTTTTTGCAAGCTTCTTCCACGGGGCTGGCGTGCAAGTGTCATTAGATGTACCAGACTTTGGAGCGGAGCAGACCACACTTGCACCCTTGCTCTGCGCCCGTCCGCACGGTTGCGCGGTGCATGACGTCACTATACCACGTGGTTGACCACGCTTGTGACATGACGGAACCAATGTTGTCTGCTGCAGGCAAAGTTTTGGTCTGTGTTTATCTTTAAAAGAAGATTGCACAAAAAATAGCAAACTTTTTCAGAACTGTTGCATAGGGCTGCTCATTACTCCTACTCAATGTTTTGTCAACCATTATGGTAAAAGTTTTGAACTTGAGCAGAGTTGCCCTTTAAAAAAGAGAGGAGCTTACATTGCCTGACAGCCATCTTGTGGAGCACAAGACCTTTGTGTATCTTTTGATTGAGTCTGAGATTCTCTCCCTCTCATCATTTGCTACCTCATTCTTTCCTCTCTCGTGCACACATTGTTTTACCACCATTATGCTGGCAGCTTGGTGGCTGGTGTCCTGTGCGGTTTTTATTTCTTCAGTACCGTATCCTCTCTTTCTATGTGATGTGCTTCTGCCATACTTTTTCCTGTTTGGCTAGGTTTAGGTGCCCCAACTCCTCTGACCTAATCTGCTTGCTGACCCTTCAGCCTCGGCACTGTGAAGGCATTTTTGGAACTTTTCCATGCTAGTATTCCTTGTGGGAACACACTGTTGGACTAGGGTCAGTTCAGTCCTGTGTGGCCCTTAGCTCTCTTTGCGCGTAATTTTTAGTGAGCCTCCCAGTGTGCACGGTTTGAATATTGCCATAGCTTCCTCTCTGCCAATGCAGCTAGTGGGTCTTGGAGCAAGGTGATGCAGTTGACTGACTGCTGCGAAAAAAAGTGTCATGTATTTAGTTAGGTATGTATAGTGAACCAGCAACAAAGTTTTGTGTGGTTTCAACACCTTCGAGGTGCAACTTTTCTGGACTCTGCATTTATACGCTTTTCTCTTTGCAGGTGCTGGGCATTGTGAATTCTCTGCTCTACCTGTGCAGTGTCTTAGCCGCCTACTGGACCTGTAAATCCAGCAGATACTAACGCTGCCATTGCTGCTTCCACATGGTGCGCGTAATACATGTTTACGCGCAGCTGTAAAACTGAGCCGGGGATCAAAACATTTACTGCCCTTTATTTTCGTTGAGGGTCTTTTGTGCATCGTCAGCATGCATGACAACGATAATATTCTGATGCTTGTGCTCATAATGCTAGTCATTGTTCCTGTGAACACATTGCTATTCTCAGTGACAACATTATTTCAAATTTTTATTTGTTATCCTAACATAAAAGTTAGGTGAGATAAATGGGTTGCAAGTCACCTTTTGTGCTTCTTGGGACACTTGTATCACTTCAGTTTGCGTTGATGTGCAAGTGCGTCTTTGTTCTGCTTATTTTTTCTTTTGGAAGTAACAGAAGACGGCATACTTTGCCCTGCAGGCATCAACTGTGCTGTCACACCTAAAGGCCAATTGCTCCAACAAAAAAAAAATATATATATATAATTTTTTTTTTAGTTATAATTTGTGCGCATTAGGATTTTGTAAGTACCCACACGAGTGAGGCATAACAACAGAATCAAAATAATGAGTCACAAATGGGTTATTCTGTTGAGTGCCTGGCATAATCACTGATGTCATGCCTAGGGTTCCAAGCATAGTTCCACACTTCTGCCATGTACGGCTGAGATTGTTATGGCTGTCGTGTAACTTCAATGCTCCACATTTTTTTAACTGACTTAGTTTCTATTTTAGCATGGAAAACAATGAATGAATCAGGGAACACAACTATGTGGTGTGAAATCAAAAATTTCTTGGCATACCCTCTCTTTTATTAGGGGCGAAGCTCCTTAGGGTCTAGCCTTGTCCGGCGTTCGTGCTCACATCGATTGCCATCCCACCTGTCTTCTTAAAAAAAGAAGGGGGCTCTGAGATGTAGTAGTAACTCAAGAACTGGGGATGTCATGGATGAAACGTTGCATGCATGTAGCCGCTCAACGTCTATACAGGAGAGGGCGCTGTGGTCAAGTGCATATATAATCGTGTTAAACTTTGCATGCATTGGCTCAAAGTTTATAGACGAGAGGTTGCTGCGGTCAAATGCTCAAATGCGTATATAACCACGTTCCATGCCACACATTCTCTTTCTGACATGGATGAAAACGAACGAAAAGCTCGGCATGCTGCGGCTCAGCGTCTACGCAGACAGCAAACTGCTCCGAAAAGAATAAAAAAAAAAAAAAAAAAGTCAGCGTTATCAGCACTACCTATGAGCAAAATCAGTATCATCAGCACCACCAGAGCTTCGCCCCAATCAACATCATTCACCACGTGGAGATGCGGTCATTTTTTATCATTAAGAGTTTTCTTGCAGTTCGCTTGTAACTGCACGGAGCATGGGAATGCTCCATTTACAAGCCGGAAGCACCTTGTATCATTTTGCTTGTCTCATCCGTATTTTTTTCTGCGCTTTTTCCAAACTTTAATGCCTCTCTATGCTGAGAAAGCTAATCTGGGTTATCGTTTGGAACATATTGTAGTGTAGAACCTGTTTAAAAGAGAAAGCTGAAGCATTTTTTTCAAATTCGAAAAATGTGCAAGATACTGGAAGTAGGCACCTTAAAAATAATGTTTTTAAGGGGCTTTTTTTTTCGGTGTAGGAGTGCCATAAGCGAAAAGGAAACCTAGCAAACCATCAGCAGTGTCTGGTGACGCACGCACGTCTTTCAGGTGGCTTGGAAATGCCAGTGATGACGTTACAATGCCTTTGAGAAGTGGCAGGTGGCAAAGAGGTTTGCACCATGCCTGAGCGATTGCTGCACATTGTTTTAAATAAAAGCAGCAGAGGAGAGCATGTATTCTGAGAGCTGAAAAAACAAGTGCAAAGAAATGAGCAGAATATAACTTGCTGATAAGCTGGACAGCAGGAATGAAGCAAACTCCTGGCAGGATTTACGCTAAATTCTGTCCAATTCCAGTGCGTTGACTAAATTCAGGAGAGAAAAGGTATAGGGAATAGCTTTACTGGTTGTCCGTAGCTGCATACTTTTAGGTTAGACTCATGCTGGCAGCGAGTGTTTGCCGGATTCCTTTCACACCATTGAAACTGTGTTTTATAAGAAACGGTTTATCGACAGCTTGCACTGATGACATCTCAATACATAGAAGGCCGCTCCTAATTTTGTTTATTTTCTTCATTGCTCCAGCTTTTTAGAGGAAACTAGCAGCTGCTCCAAGAGTTTAAGTGTAATTCAAACGGTATAATACAACATAATGCCGAATTTCTGATTACTTTTTTTGGATATTGGAACACTATCAGGTCATGGCTTCCATGCTTATTTCTACATAAAATTTCATCAAAAAGAAAATGCATCTTACTCGAGTTTTGTTTTACCACTTTGCTGTTCGTATGGTGTACTGGTATGGCCTTTAGGGACGAATGGTACCCTTCAGCACTGTTGCCAGCTCTCTCGACTTCCCTAAAATACCCCAGAACAAGGGCACTTGTGCATGCGGAAATGAGCAATTTCGAGCCACTTGTATCATAATCTCGCGTGCAACTCGACTCATGTGAAACTCACACTGAGGTCTATTTTGGGCTCCTAAATATGTCTGGTCCTGGTGCATTTTTTAAAAATATTCAGGATCATAAATGGAGTCTGTTTCTGTTCATGTCACAAAGCCTTTTTCTTCATTACATGTTTATTTTGCTTTATATGAGACCGGTGCACTTTATATTTCAGTGGGTTTTGCTGACTGCACATTGAATGTGTGACAAGAACCTATATTTGCACACCTCAGTGGAAAGCATATTTTGGATGGCTTTAACACTGACTAACAAATCACTTGTTTTCAGCACACTGCAATTTTTATTTTTATGTATTGCTGACACATTGCTAGGATTTTTTCGAGGTGCCAGCATCATCTGAAGTTCATCGGGAATCGGATTGCAATGTTTTACAAATTAACTTATATTGAGAATGTAACACTATACCCTGGTTGTTATGATGAAATGCATGTATGCTAACAGAAGATATTGAAGCACAAGAGTATATCCTCCAAGCGAGTTGATCTGTGAATAAATTTGCAAGGGAGATGGTAGTGCACAAAGTAATGCCACATAGCATTAGCCTTTTTGCACTGTTTGTACGGCACAGTTCTACATCTCAAACAAGCCCAGTAGCATTTTGAGACAGTTTATATATAAGACTTTCTTTTATATGCCTCATGATTTTGCAGTGATTTAGGATCGGCATCACTGATGTCGGAACCCACTGTAGGTTCTTGTTCATAACGTGTTGTGTTGACACTATGGGCTCACAGTTTTACAGCGGAGCTGTTAAGGGCTAGGTTCCCCAGGATTGTGTCCGTGTATGTCGACACAAACCTACCTGGACAGCTACCGCCATCTATAAGCAACGGCGGCAAGCACACAACCAGTATGGTTTCTGCCGTCGTTCGTAGATGGCGGCAACCTTTCCAGCTATAATAGAAGAATGGATAGTTGGGCGCGTTGGTGGGAATTCATCGTAGGAAACAGCACGAAAAACAGACGACGACGAAGAAGAAGCACACAGTGTATCGAGTACCAGCTCCGCTGGTCTTCCTTTTTACTTCGGAAACTATTGTTATGCCCAACTCTACTTCACATCTCGATTTTATTTTGTAATTAGAATAGACACTAAGCAGCATATGATTGGTATGTTGTAACAAATTGGGATTTGAAGAGCCAGGGTCCAGATGAAAACTGAATTGCCATTCTTGCTGGCATCTAATCTGATAGGACTACTATTTTTTTTCCTCTGGTGGTCATGACTGATCTCGCTATTAAGTGAGGAGCATGTCTGGGCTTGAGGATGCCTTGTAATGTGGAAGACTACTTACTCTGCTGTCCTGCTGAATTCCCTGTGTTCAGTGGCACTCAAGAAAGGTCACTGCATTCAACAAAACTACTACCTGTTTGTATGCAGTGTGCATTTCTGCTAAAAACTGCACAGATGGAGCCAGCAACTGTGGCACCCTTGTGATACAGGCTTTTTGTGTACATGGCTTACCTTCCGTCACACACAATTTTGAATGAGACTGATCAAATGTCCAGGTCATTGAAAGCTCTGCCCACTTTTTACATCTTTTTTTGTTTTGATAAGCACATACACGCTTACAAAGAGACAACCATACTAGTCTAGTGGGGTTGACTTGTGAGTCTTGTTTTAAATGTGTAACGGGCATTGCCATATTACTACTATTCAACATTGAAACTTCAATGATGGCTGAGCATTGTTTTTGAGTATAAGCACATACTTATTTTTGTGTTGGTAGTCATTTCCTAAAAGTAAAATAAAATTGAGGTCTGAGAAATGCCGGAAAAGTCCATGATTTCACATCTGCAAACATGCCGTGTGTGAGCATTAATGGTACGCTGTACTCGTTTTACCTCGTGGCGGACTGCAACGTGTGCTATGAGCCATCTCAACCATCCTTTGTGTTTCTGGTGAGTCTATATGTGCAAATAATGCGATGCAGAAAGTGACTTCCATTTCTTGCTATTGGTAGGTGATTCTGAAATTTATTTTCGTACAGAGCCACCATGAGTGCCTAATCCTTCTTTAGGTAATTGAGTAAAAATTAGAATAATGATCGTGCTATGCTTTTTATGCCAGTAGCAAACGAATGAGCAAAACATATCGGTTAATTTTTTTTTATTTTTTTTTTTTATATGGGTAGCATCGATTTTTACCTTCTGCTCATTACCTATCTTCAAAATAGCAGAGGCTAAATGCTAATATCCCCGATATGAAAACTTCCATGTGGCTTTCCATAGCAGAATATGAAAATATTCCCCACAGACATTATGGCACATTTCTTGACACTTCTTTCATAACAGGTTCAGTAACCACAAGTGCCTTTGAAGGAATTATGTCAGTCTTCCAATGCCCGAGTCCCACTGGAGCGTCAAACGGGAACAACCGGCATTGACAAGCCTCAAGGACGTGCAGCTTGCACGCGATGGTACCGTTGGTACCAGTCTGCTCTTGTAAAATAAGCTGTTTGCAATGCTGCCAAAGATAGTTTTGTGTGCTGCGCGGGCTTGAGGCTTGTCACTGTAGGTTTCTGTTTGTTGCTCTAGCCGGACTCTAGCATCATTGTGCATTTGAAAGATGTCCAGACACAAATGGTTGCTTAAGAATCCAAGATTCACATTGCAGAGGCAATGTGAATATTTAGTGTTGATGGGTATCTACATTTCAGCGTTGACGTGTCGTCATGCCTATCTCAGTTATTCCTTTTTTTTTTTTTAATTTTTAACCAGAAAACAGTTCTGCTTCCACTGGGTCAAATTTAAATTTGAATGGTTTATTAACATGTCTGTGAAATGTTGGGGAGGGTAAAGGAACCCCCTCCCTGCGTTGACCCTGTGTTCCGACGTCCTGACCAGCTTGTGAGATGTAGTGGTTCTATAAAATATCGACAGGGGGATTGATATTTTCGATGTACCATTTTACCGCAAAGTTAAATTCGAAGTACATCCCGCGAAAAGACACAGGGGCGTCACGTGAGTATTTTGAACCAATGGGGAGATGGGGCGGTTTGGGTCGTTGCCTGTCGCCTCTTGAGGGCGCTGGAGTCAGTTTACTGGAGTTTCATTGGTTTCATCAGTTCATGTTATTTGTTTCGTTTGTTACCATTTGTAAATCGACTTTGTTTCTCTCCAAGATAGGACACGAGCGCTACTGTTAGCTGTTGCTCGCTGGTAACTGGGAGTGGGACGCAGCTCGTTAGTCAGGGAACAAAATGCCGATTACAATAACGCAACAATCGACCACTATGTCGAGCAGCGGCGAACGACTGTCGTTATGCGCTCTCAACTTGGGTTACCTCAAGACACTGGACGGATGGATCAAAATAGCGCAAGTCGTGAGTACACGCGTCTCTCTTATCGACAGAATTAGTCTCGGTCTGACCGTAAATAACCGACTAGAGCCTGTTTTTTGGGAAATTCTCGGTGCGCCGCCTTGATCAGAGTCTTGTTGGGTAAAACATACGCCAGTTGGTGGTGGGCAGGCCCGCGAACTGCGCTACTTGAACACCTGTCGGAGCGGTGATCAGAGCAACAGCGTTGTGTCTGTGGAACGCGGATGCTTGGATTTTCATGGGACAACAGCGACGCGAGATGATGAACCACTGGATTTACGTTACGCTCGTACGATTATGCTGTGTAATAAACAGATCGCAGCGGTGTCGGCGGCGCGCTGCAATGTCTGTGTCACTCCTACGTCGGGTAGAGGGGTGTGGCAGACAAGACCGGGTGACGTCCTTTTTTGTAATCAGTACTTCTCAATTCCAATTAAAATCCATGCTTACGACTCCCCAGGGCCGCCGTGCTCCCACACGGTTCACTTAATGGGCAAGTATTGCGATTAAGGAGGCGATCGTCTGTTGCACTAGTTAATAAATACATTAACATTAAACCATTTTACATGTAAAAGGCACAAGCAGTTAACAAACTCCATGATAAACGGCAAAAGCAGTTAACAAACTCCATGATAAACGGCAAAAGCTTTTATTTGGGGCTCGGATCGTTTTTATTTCTCAAAGCTTCAGGAACTCCACCCCCTATTCCCAGAAAAAATGGGACTATGCTATTCAGTAAACATTTTTCTGACATCGCAGAAAGGAGGGAGCATTAATCAGCACCCTTCTTTCAAGGTGACAGCAACAAAGAATTGGGCCTCTCGGCACAGTGTTTCGGGAAAATAATTTTTCAAGGTCGCAAAGAAACATTGCCGCTTGCGAAAACAACAAAGATTTCAAGTTATTACGAGCCCTTTCTTGTGACCAGTGGTTTCGACCAGAGACACTCAGGGTTGTTCATGGTCATTCACTAACGCTGTGGCCATAAATAGGTGTAATATCCTTTATTGTGTACTTTGCCTACCGGTATGAGAATAAGCCTTACTGAAATCATTCATTTCACCCTACTGAAATCATTCATATCAGTATTACGTGCAAAAGGTCCAGTTTGGCAGCAGTATTTTGTGAAGGTTTTTGGACTGGAGCTTCTAGCAGATATGCACTTGGGTGACACTCGGCACTACAGTTCACAGGACTGCGACCCATTCATATGAGACATAATCGCGCCAAAATATTTTCTGGTGCATGTCCAGATACATGCAAAGCCTGTAGCACCGAATGTGATGCGAAGATGCACAAGCCAGTCGAGAAGGAGTCTTACATTGTTCAGGTGGCTCAAGTGCCCAATTCATCCAGGGGAGGGACGGTCAAAATGTTCGGAACATATTACTCTTCTCGAGGGACTGTCATGGAACAAAACATGTCTAACGCTGTGGTATAGACCACCTAAAAATATTGTGCCTCTCCCGGGAGATCTGAAAGCACGGCAATACGGTGGAACAGCCAGCTCTGTGAAGCATGCATTTCTGTAACCACATGCAGTTTCTCAAAAATTAACACTGTATAAACGTTGGAATTGTCAGCTCAATGGTGTTTTGCACCCGCCGCTGCGCAGTGTTTTACCAGAAGAGGGCTGCTGGCTCAGCCTAGCAGTTGAGTAAAAGCTATTTGTTACCTCATGAGGGGGGTGCAATTTACTTTTAATTACCCCTTCATGTTGGTATTAGGTTAGTCTCGTATTGGATTACAAAAGATGTTAAAAAAAAGTTTTTTCTTTCTTTTTTTTTCTTCTTCTTTTTAGCTATTGATAGCATGACAGGGCATCTCTTATGGATGACCAGCCTCCAGCCTGTGCTCGTTATACCTTTCGCCATATACTTTCGCTGTGCGGGCATGCTTGAAGCTCGTGAGACACCATTGTGTTATCGAAGGTATGCGGAGTGCAAGTTCGTCTGCTTCTTTTGCAAGGGTTGGGGCGACGTTAAAAAGCCGCACTCTGATTGGCTCTGGTTGAAGGATAGTGGATAGACCTCGAAGCAAGCTGCCTTGAGGTCTACCTACTATCTTTCAATCAGCCAATCGGAGCTCGGCGTTCTGATGTCACCATAATCACCTGGCAAAAGAAGCAGACAAACTTGCGCTCCGCGTAGGAAGCTCGTGCCGGAGGTGAGACAAGTGAGAGACCTCGCCACTGTTCTCATCCTGTCAGTGAGTATACAAGCTTTCAATCACGATGACCTACTTTCAAGTACTTGTGAATTTTTGTTTTTTGAACCGATAGCTCGAACTGACATGGAATCATCTGCCATACTGCCTTTTTTTCTTTTGGCCAAAATCTCCTGCATTAATTTTTAATTGTGGAAGCAGTATTGCGAGCGAGCAAAAAGTAGCAATATTCGCTAGCATTGTGAAAATGAGAAATGTCGTCGCATGCAAGTTATATGTGTACTAGGTTATATTTGCTTAGTTTCATTACCATGCGTGTTGTGGTGTTTCACTTTTCATCTTGGGTGTCTCCTTCTCTAAGTGCTGACCTGTCTGTAGTGGGGCTTTGCCCCCCTCCCCCAGTACCCCAAAAGTAAAATTGGGCATGTGAATATTTGCCTTGTTTCCTCCCTGCTGTGGAGGTAAAAATGCGGCCATTGCAGTGTGGCATCCAAGATGGGATCTTTAACGTCTGTCATGCAGTACAGTTATTGCTCGACTGAAAGCCGGTGAAACGCCTGCCATAATTGATACCGGTGCGGATGGGGATTGTCCCCTAATTGACTTACCCGCCCCTCTTTGCTCCTAATTCTGATACAAGCAGAAGAGAAAGAGGCAGCACAGCAGAACTATAATCAGGCAGTCAGGGTTGGACAGAAATATCCTAAAATTGTATTTGGAAATACAAATACTGGGATACATGGCAAATGCACCTAAATTGCTGATACTGATATTAGAAAAAGGTGGTTCTGGAGTAGCACTGTTTTCATTCTGACAACAAGTCCTCAAAGGCCTGTATTAGTGGGGCAATTAAAAAGCCACTAAAAAGAAGAAAAAAAAAGTTTTTTTTTAACAGTCTAATTGGGACACGCATGTAAAAAAAATTAATTTTACGCAAAAAAAAGTATTATTTTGTTTAGAGCAAATTTTCCTTTCTACTCGTTTTCTGTCGCGGCATTTCGGGCACGTGGAGGAGGTGAATCGGTTTGGCCATCACGGTGAAGTGGAGAGAGTGTATGACCATCTCGTTGAGGTGGAAAGAGTCTACGTATGACCATTCCGTGACGTCATGGACTTCGCGTGCAGAATTTGAAGTAAATCTCACGCCATCAGTATTGCTCGAAAATTATTATTTCTTTTTTTTCGCTTAAGATTTATTTCTTGGCACATGTGTCCTAACCAAACTGTTTACAAAAAAAAAAAAAAAAAAAATTTCTTTTCAGTGATTTTTTAAGGCTTGTTAGCAAGACGGAAATTATGGTGCATGTTTAGTGTCCTTTAAATTGTGTGCACTGAAACAAGTCCTGTTCACACAGAAATAAGAGACATTCCTTTATCCACTGGGAGGGCTGCCTGGTCTGGTCGCATCTGCGGTACTATATTACTATGTATCGCATATACATTTTAACAATGTGCACCAATGGGAGTTGTGCAATTGTTTTTCATCTGTTTTTTAAGTTTCAAAAGAGAACGGTCTGACCTACGTCTGCAATGACTAATACTTCTTGCTCTGTCAACCATGGGATGTGCTACTCTATTCTTAGTCAGTTCATACTCTGCTAGTATGTAGAGTGTTACTGCAATGAAGAATGAGTTGCAACCTTGATTGTTTAGAGAAGAGAAGAAAAATTATGAGATTAAAAGAATCGTACACTACAGCAAATGACCTGACAAAGATTGATCCTCAACTGTACCTGCAACCCTAAACATTGGACTCCCTGAGAATGAGCAACAAGAAATTGCTCTGTGGCAGTACAGAAATAATATGTTTGAATACTTTTTTTTTTTTTTTTGCTGAGCAATAATTGAGTGGAACGTTCTGCTTGAGCAGGTTGTCAGTTGTTGAAGTCCTCGTTTTATTTTTCCAGTTGTTTTTGGCACTGCCTCATATTCCAGTTGACTGATAATGTCCTTTTTATAATAGTTGTGCTGATAGGTAATATATTTTTGTTAAATTCTGGTGATGTTTTATGAATACTTTTTTGTACACTAAAATTCATGATAGTTGTGTTTGATAGATTTTTTTTCTGTTTTAGGAATGGCTTTGTAAAACCCACTCCCTGCTAAAATGCCTTATGATGATGCAAACTTATTTGTAAACTAATTAAAAAAAATTGAAATAAAGAAATGAAAAATGCGTAGCAAATCGCTGGGCAATTGGGTTGCATGTGAAACTTGGCATCTTTACTTTGGCGATACTTTGGAGTTTCACGCTTTGGTCCGATTTCTTTGGGATAGACGTCTATGCTCTCGGCGCTCTTCATTGATTAGCGACTGGCTTAATGCGTGGCATGCAAGTCCCAGGGCTAACCCTAGTTTTAAACGCTTGGCGCTCTTCCAGAACCCTCCATAGCTGCAGATGTTTCTTTGATGACATCCAACCACCGTCTGGCAGGCAAGCGGTGGTGCGTGAGTGATTGTGCAATCACCAGCCAGTCAGCGTCGAGTGAGCGTGGCCTTGCGCATGACGTCGTACTTGAACCAGCCAGTCGGCATCGAGCTGGGGGTGTGACATCGTCACCTGGCTCAGCCAGTCAGCATCGAGTTGAATGGCAGCTTCACTTTTTGGCTTCACAAATTTCTAGACCTCTTTCTGACGAGCCCAAGCACATTTCATGTGGAAACATTATTTGAAATCAATAAGTAAAAAACATGTAATGGTTTTTATGAGATAAAGAGGGCTGATACCTATGATATTTTAGTTGAACTTAAATGATCCAGAGCTCATTGTAAACTTTGTTAATTAAAGCTACTGTGTAAGTGAGGAATGCTGGCCTCATTATCTCAAAGTAAAGCTGAAATTGGGACATCATTACTGCAAAGTTCACTAGTTGGAAAAAGAGAAGGCATGTTGAAGTGGTTCATATTGTAGCCTCTCTGAGCCAAGGCATTATTTAGAGTATACTTTTCAGAGTAACAAAGGTTGAGTGAGAGTGGTACAGCCTGGTGGCTGGTGTGGTATGTATGATACGCCCCTCTTTTGTTCCTGGAAATGTGTGGGTAGTTTAAGTGCCCACCCAGAAAGGAGACGTTCAGGGGAAAAATTTGCTTACGTAGGACGACTCTTGCTTTTCTCCTGCAGATCTTGGGTCTCATCGTGATGTCCCTTCTGGTCAAGACATACCAGGTCTCCTGGGTGTTGTTCCTGATGATGACTGCCTTCGCCTTTGCCGTGATCAGCCTCCTCATCTTGATCTCGGCCATGGGCTCCTTGTCTGGGGGAACGCTGATGGGAACACTCTTTGTGAGTGCCTCACTCATTCAAAGCTCAGCTATAGCCTACAAAAAGTCACTACAAGTCTGCTAGGTTATTTCGTCACTAAAAAAGTATGTTTTTCAAGTGTTGGCATGGTTCTAAAAATTTTGGTAGTGTCTTTTGCAATTTATAACAATAGGTCATAGTATTTAAGCATCAAGTGCACACTCCCATAAACGGGATTTAATAGGAAAAGTCACGTATATCTAGCGTGCGGCATGCCAAAAATGATTAAGGGTGTTCTTATGAATTGAGCCCTTCAAGTTCTCTGGGTTTTAGACATGACTCTTTATGTTGGGGGCTCGTTAGCCCTTGGTAAAACGAATGAATCAGCAAGTCGGCAGTTGAGTATGAAGTACTTTATTCTTCTACTAGGAGCGAACTGGGAAACATGCCCACGTGTGACACACGCTGCTATTTGTGCCACAGCGTGCCTGCAGGTGCCATAGCGTGCATGCAGCTCGAGTCAGGCGATCTCTCTACCTCCGGATTTAGGTGTAAAGTCTGTGGGACGGCAAGTTATGTGCGTTCTCGGTGTGGTGCCTCGGGAACTATCAGGCGGCGGTATGTCGTCGGTCATTGTACACATAACATCCCTTCCTTGGCCATTGTAGACATAACATCCCTTCCGTCTTAGATGGAGTCGCAGTAACGGTCTAACAGATGCCATTTGCGTTTTGGTCTTGACGTTGCAGTCAAAGCTGGCGCCGACTTGTCCTGTTCATTGGAAGGGGCTGCAGCTGTTTGAAGCTCAGGCGCTGTTTTGTCGATAGTTCGCGGGCGATGCGGAGAATTCCGGTGATGGCTGCAGAGTGTATGGAGCCGGAATAGTGCACTTTCGGCTTGTTACTTGCTCCTTGTTTGTGTTGCTTGACGAAGAGTTTCTTCTGTGATTCGTCTGTACACCGGGTTTAATGTGATCGAGGCGTCAACGAACCGTCCCGTCTTTGCACTTTATCAGCCAAGACCTGTGTCCCAATCTTCGTTATTGTTCCTCTCATCCAAGCAGGACCTTGTACAAAGTTGCGGACAAAGGCAGATTGTCCTATGGCTACTCCCTTCAACGATCTCCCTCCACGGCAGTCGGACGTTGCCTCTCCTGGCGGTCCAGGCTGAAGGCGCAGTGGAGAGCTTGCGACTGAACATGAGCGTGGCGGGTGCTTTGCTCGTTGAGGTAGAAACTGTTGTGTGCTGTTTAAGCAGAAATCTTTTTAGCCTGCACGAAAATGTTCCTGTCTGTTTTTTTGCCAATGCCTGCTTTGCTTCAAAAACATCCTTTCCACTCGTCCATTTGCAGCAAGATGGTAAGGGGCACTTGTGATATGTGTTACCCCATTTTTCTTAAGGAAATTTTCGACCTCTGATGAGACAAAAGATGGGCCATTGTCCGTTACATTCCTTTAGGAAAGTCCAACAGTTGCGAATAATTTCTGCAACTTCTCAATCAGTGTGATTGACTATGTTGGGAATGCAGCACACCTCTAGCCACTTGCTGTATGCATCATCAATAATCGTTAGCATCTTTCCTTCCATAGGGCCAGCAAAGCCCGTGGGAAATCTGTGCCAAAGTGTTGTTGCCCGTTTCCATTCAAGGAAGGCTACCTGGATGACCCCTTTTGTTGCTGCCGACAGGGTACAAAATTTTTGATAGTTTTTCAATGGCATTGTCTACACCTGACCAACAAAAGTAAATTTGTGTGCATGCCTTCATGATTACTGCTCCCCTGTGACCCACATGTGCCAAGTCAAGTACTTCCTTCCTTGCCCTTGTGGGAATAACCACTCTGGTTCCTCTGATAAGGCAAATTTCTTGCACTGAAAGTTCTGTTCCAAGTTTGCAGTACAGTGAAATTTGTTGCCTTGGCCATTTATGCACTTGTCCACTTGAAAGAGCTGCTATCACTCGGGACAACAATGATTCGCATCGGGTCATTTCTACGAGTTGACACGGAGACCGTTCGAAACTTCATGTGGGGTCCAACTTGAGCACGTCTGCCCGGGGACGGGGCTCGTCGACCTGTGCCAGAAGTGGCAGCCTCCTGAGTGCATCAGCTTTCTGATGGAGTCGTCCAGGCCTCTAGACTAGATTATAGTCATGGGTGGCCAGCTTAAGATGCCATCACATCATCCTGGGTGACAGGACTTGGGGCACCTGCTTCTTTTCTTTCAAGATGCCAAGAACAGGTTGGTGATCCGTTATAATAGTTACTTGTCGGCCAGTGATGTACTGGTGAAAGTGACTGATGCCGTAAACTACTACCAAGCCTTCTTTGTAACTGGGAGTAGTTTTTTTTGACTCCCAGTGTTTGTGATGCGAAAGCTATGGGTACCTCTGCCAAGTTCGTCTTTCTGGGCAAGGACGGCACCAGTACCGTATGGTGACGCATCTACAGACAAAAGAAGAGGCTTGGTTTCATCGTAATGGGCAAGCACTGTGGACGTGCGAATCATGCTTTTAAGTGCATCAAAGACAGTCTGGTGCTTCCTCTCCCATTTCCAGGGTGCATTTTTTTCTAGAAACTTGTACAGCTCGGTGGCGACGGTTGCTCTATTCTATAGGAAGCGGTCGTAAAATGCGAGAAGCCTAATTAAAAGCTCGAAGAGAGGTCTCATCGGTTGACTGGGGTGCCTGAAGGATAGCTTGCACCTTTTCCTCAGTGGTGTGCACTGTGTTAGCGTTAATTCTGTGTCCCAGAAACTCAAATGACTTAATGCCAAAGCGGCACTTTTCTTCCTTGAGGTGTAGACCTGCCTTGCTTAGCCTCGATAAAACCTGGTCCAGATATTCTGCATACTCAAGAGTGCCTTTCATGCTGACAGTGATGTTGTGAAGGTAAACACTCGCCCCTGCATTCCGGCCATTGTGGTCTCTATCTTGAACTTAAAGATGGCTGATGCTGCAGAAATTCCGAATGGAAGCCGTTTGACTTTGAACAGTCCTTTGGTGGTGTTGACGGTGAGCAGAGCAGCAGTTCTGTCGTCGACCTTCATTTGTGCCTAGTACAGATCAATGGTTGAGAAGACAGTTCCACCTCTCAAATTTGCCGACACTTCGGCCGATGTTGGCATGCGATACGATGCTTTCTTCGCTGCTGCGTTAACAGTGCTCCTATAATCGCCGCAAACACGAAACATGCCATTGATTTTACGCACAAACACAAGTGGTGTGGCCCACTCGGCTTGCTGTGTCGGTTCCAGGATGGTTGCAAACGATAGAGTTCTACTTCCATTGGTCCTTGCAGAGCCAAAGGCACAGAGCAAGCTTTGCAAAACTTGGGTTTAGCTTCATTCTCCAGTTCCAGGTGAATCAAGGGGCTTGTGTAACCATTGATGCCTTCTTTAAATACATCAGGGTGGCGAGCGAGGATCTCGTGGATCTCTGACATAGCCTGAACAGCCTGGTGGATTTTCTGCACGTGGAATTTCAGTGTTGAAAACCAGTCTTGTCCTAAAAGGTTTTATCCAGTTCCTTTTGGGACCAGCCAGGGGAGTAAGTAATCCTTTGACTTGAACTTGATGTGAACTTGTGCAGAGCCAAGGACATGTAGCTCTTCTCGTGACTAGGCGCGTAAGTCAAGCGGTTCTGTTGACAACTTTGGGGGATTCTTCTGCCATGTTCAGTGAAAAGTTTCTTTGCTGATCAAATAACATGCAGCTCCTGTGTTGACATCATATTGCAGGCGTTTTCCCTCTACCTTTAAGTCTATAACTTGGGACATGGCGTTTGTTCACACTAGTCGTCCGTCTCGCAGTGGGACTCGGTGCTTGAAGTGTCTTCGCCTGAAGGCAGTGTGTTGACACTGTGCGTTCCTTGACTGGTGTTGGGTTGCGGCTGCGCGCTTTTCTGTTTCCTTGCGATGCAGATATTTTCTGTTTGACCCTTCTTTAAGCAGAAACAGCGTTCTGCTGTCTCGAACTTGCAGGTTGAAGCCCCGTGCCAGCCATCACATCGATAGCAATGCCGTCGTGAATGTGAATGCTGAGGTTGTTTTTTTTTTGGGTTGAAAGGTCTCGTTGATCCCAGTTGAGTTCGTCACTCCTTTGATTCCTCACTGCTGCTTGGACGCACTTTCCGCCAGCAGAGTGATTTCCAAAGCACGTTGAAAAGTCGGCTCCATTTCGGTGAACAGTCTCTGTTGAAGGTGCTCGTTGCGGGCGCCGCATATGAACCTGTCTTGGAGCACGACGTCTTGTGGCAGCATAGCATGGTTCGTTGGCGAAACTGATTTCAAAGTTGCCCACGATAACGTGAATGTTGCAGCCGTCATTGACAGTACGCCAAAATTGTAATCGGCTGACAATTTTTTTAAAGGGCCGCGGCGTAGCTGTGGATATATTCGTCCGGCATATGATTGCATCGTTGGAAGACGTACTGGCTGTAAAGCTCGGATGGTCTTGAATCCAAGTGCTGCTGTAAAAATGTCACTAAGTCAAAGCTTACTTTCCAGGAGCTTTTGGCACGACCAACGCACGATTAGTTTCGAAAGTGGAGCCACACAGCATAAGGAGGAGCGCTCGCTTCTTTGCTTCTGCGGTATCGTTGTTTGCCACAAAGTAAAAGCTGAGTCGCTGTACGCATGACGCCCAGTTCTTGCCCGAAAAAGGCTCAACGACTTTGTGCGTGCCTTCAGTAGCCCATGGTCTAAACCTCGAAAACTACATTCGTTTCTAAATCCAACTTCTCGTTGCCAGTGTCATGTTGGGGGATCATTAGCCCTTGGTAAGAGGAACGACTTGACAAGTCAGCCGAGTCGGCCGAGTATGAACTACTATATTCTTCTACGACAAACAAACGGGGAAACCTGCCCATGTGACGTGACATACACTGCTAGTGGGCAGCTCAGGTCACCCTATCTTTTTAGCTCCAGATGTAGGTGTAAAGTCTGCGGGACAGCAAGCTAGGTGCGTTTTCAGTGGTGCCTCATAGAGGCAAGGCAGAAGGTGGTAGGTTGGTGGTTGTAGACATAACAACTCTTACAAAAGTTGTACAGCAGCAAAGCTTACAGTTGACTTCCTTGTGCTCCGCCAAGTGTTTCAGTTAATGTTACGTTAAAGCCCGATGAATTCCCAGCAAGAAGCAAACTGCCTTTTGATTGCTCTTTTTCCATTTAAGAAAGAAGGAAACGCTCCTCCTGCAAGGAGCACTTGGAAACAGCACCTCTGAGACAGCAGGGCTGGGCTTTTTACATTGCATCTACAACTGGCCAATGCGGGGCACACATTGGGCATGAGTGCTCCCACTGTTTGAACACACAAATAGCAGCCGAGTGCCGACGCAGCACTTGTGTCATGGTTGTACGTGACAGAAAATTCAGCACTATGACCTTGCTATCTAGGAGGTGTTGTTCAGAGGCCCGCTCCTTTGAGGAGAGGAAGAGAAAAGAGTGCAAGAGGGAATAAAGAGAAGGACCCTGGGGAAAGTGTTTCTGCATGGCAGAAGACAATTCTGTAGATTGGCCTTTAAGGCAGCATCGTAGCACACATCGGTACCTCGATACGGCCAACTTGCAGAATTTCAGTTCATTTTTTTTAGTCGATGGGGGCCCTCGAAATACATGACTTTTCTCAAGAGTTGCCATTGCCTCTTTAGAGTAGTAATATAGGTGGAGATGCAAAAAACGGCGCTTTCTGGCTGGTCAGTATCATGCCAGAATCCTTTACAGAAAGCTATTTGATATCACTTCACAATTTCTGAGTAAGTTTAAACCAGGAACATTACAGCTGACATTCTATACAAAATGTGGCTCTTTGTAGAATAAGCCACCTTGTAACTTCTTCTTGACAACAAAGTCAATCAAAGAAACTAAGCTGAGACTGGCTGCTTCACGTGGCTGGTGCATTCTATACTGGGAGATGTTTTACGTGCAGTTTGAGATTTTTGATCGAGAATTAGTTCATATACATTGAAGCTCACATTAACTTGACATATCTAACAGGGCTTGATCAGAGCAATAGTTAATGCACTAAATCCTGTAGAGAGGGAAAGCCTAGAAGTTATGTCAAGAGTAAGTATGCAGGCAGACCAGCTTGCGTCCAGTTTCTTAAATGCAGTGTACTATTTATTAGTTAAATTAAAGCCGTTTTGTATCATTTATGAGTTATGAGCTAGATGTGGAACTCTTTCTGAATAGCTTGCACGATTGTAACGCGCAGGTATATTTACTGCTCAAGTATTCAGAAAATAACCTGATGCCGATTGTACCGCGCAGGTAAAAAAAAAGGAAGGCTGAACACATACCTCATAGAACAGATTTTATGAAACGCTCGCCAATACCAAGTACCGTGCACTAGTCGCCGTTCGACGATGGTTCTTCGCTGTCCACAAAGGTGATCCTTGCTTTTGCCTAAAGCGTTTTAGGTGCCGCGCTTCTTGCACTTGTACGAGTGCGCAACCCTCGCCTCTGGGAAGGTCGTCTTCCAAACAACTTTGCAAGCTCGTCGGGTCGCTGGCACTGCGAAGCCACGGAATGCTGCTCTGTTGTTATCTTTTCTCGCCAGCGTGATAGCCTTTCGTTTAAATAATGCCTCCTAGTCGAATTTCTTTTCTTTTTCCATCTTAAGACGGCAGTCACGAGTCTGTAGACGCGAGAGAATATGTGTGATATGGATACCAAAATGGCGAAGGATGTATGTATGTTAATGGCTGTACCCTTTGTAACGGGCGGTAGCTTGCGCCACTTAGCCTAGATCTAAAAAGACAAACATATGATTCCTCCCACCCTTCTAGGACCAATTTTCTCCCCCTAACTATCACCAGGCAGTGTGGGATATCACCAGGATGACCTTGGGGGGGTTGGGCCAAAAAACTAAAGACATCGCCCCACGTCTCTTCCCCCTGGCAAGGGAGTCGCCGATTTGCTTCTGGTCAAACCTTTTCGGCGTTGCCCCAGCACCGGACCCATTGGGAGACAGGGTTGAGACTTTGGGCCGGAGCCATGCGGGAGGGAGTCCCAATTTTCTTCTGTCCTGCCTGTCCCCAGCTGTGCTAGTTAGTTGTGCATCATTCAGTTTTCCCTAGATAATTTCCACCAATCCTCTAATCGCCTCTTTGTGACTGTAATCCTTTTCTCTTCCGTCCTTCCATCGTCGCAAGTAAAACCCAGGCCCCGGCCAGAGTCGTTACCCCTTCAGGGAGGGCACGGCAAAGCCTTCACTTCAAAACCAAGTGCTCTAGTGTGAAAAGAGTCAAAGTACAGGCTAGCTGGTGGAAGTCAACCATTTCGTCGTTTACCCTGAGACTGGGGGGTTTTTCGAAGAGCAGAAGTAGCAGAAAAAACAGGGTTGAGACAGGGTTGAGACCTGTCTGTTTTTTCTGCTACTTCTGCTCTTCGAAAAACCCCCCAGTCTCAGGGTAAACGACGAAATGGTTGCTCTAGTGTCTCGCTCTCATTATGGCAGACGGCACATAATGTGTCAGTCTCCTGAAATTTAGCCCTATACGTTTTTGTCCTCAAAACTCCCATTCTCACCTCAAACAGCAAAGAACTTCCCAGTGAATTGTCAAACACATTTTCCTTTCTTATGTCCTACTTTTGTGACCTATACACCGTTAGAGCTGATTTCTCCAGCATTCTTCCCTCCCACATTTTTCTCTCTGCCTCTTCCAACCCCTTCTCTACTGCAGCAGTGTTCTCAGCCCTGTCACCAGTGTGTAGTTCTTTAAATGTAAGCTTTCGGGTTTGGTTTGTTAATTTTGTGTTTTAAACTCTTGATGTATAAATACTTGAATACCTTCCGTGCCCACTGCGTATCATCCATTTTGGTCAACCTTTGTTCAAATTTCAACTTACTAATGGGGCTAGCCACCTTATACCGAGTACTGCATTTTTATTTTTGAGTTTCGGTTTTGACTGTAATGCGCTTGTATTTTTGGAGACCGATTTCGGCGAAAAAAAGTGTGCGTTACAATCGTGCAGAGGCATACTAGGCCCTTTCGACAATACTGAGAAATGCTACGTGAACTAAAAGCCTTTAGTTAGATATTGTTGCATTCTCTGTATCCAGACTGCATTCGAGATTGATATGAAAGGCAAACATCCAATTTTGTTTCACACCGTTCTACTGTGTTTGGAACAGACCAAAATGCTGAATTGTTGTGCAGAGAAAGACTAATGTGTCTACTGCTCATGCAGACAATGGTGTTCTTGAGTGTGCTGAGACAGCAGTTCTAGAAGACAAGTGGGTAGTTAACATTCATACTGACGAGTAATATACCATAGCCTCCTATATAGGAGGGAAGCTTGTGAGATCAGTGCCAAAACCGGCCATCTAATCTGGGAGAGAGAGAAAGAGCGAGGCTCTCAGGGGCACAGTGCCAGGGCAGCGGCTTTGAGAAACGCTCTGTCTCGATCACGCATGCATCCAGTCTGGCCGTGCCCTGATGGAGCCTGTGATCATGGCCACGTGCTATCACGAGACTTTAGTTTTGCAGTTGACCGCCACGCTTTTTCTAGCACCGAGTGTGTTGTCACTCACCTTTCTCCCTCTTTTACGGCTGCCAGGCAAGCTGTTTCTCCCTTGCAGAACTTTCAGGCGTTCCCCCTATATAAAAGGCTATGGATATGCATTGAGTGTGTCCCACTGCATAGTTTTTTCCAAGGAGAAAAAGGCCTAACCGAATTTTGTACCTTTCTCTACACATGGCATTGACCTGCCCTTATTTTCTTTCAGTACCTGAACTATCACATCGTAGGGTTCATCTTCTACCTCTCGGGAGGACTCACGTGCGTCATTAATGCATCGCAGTACACAAACCTGGGAATCGTCATAGCAGCAGGGGTAAGTAATTTTCTTTGCTTTGGTCCCCGTCTATGGCTTCTTTTCATTGAGGGGCAACTCTACTCCATTCCAAAAGTTCCAGGGTAACAGGTGATTTCACATTGAGAAGTACTAGTGGATGGCTCTAAATCATTTGCAGTGATGTGATTGCTGCGCCAATTGTGCCAAACTGCGCCAAGCGGCTAACCCTGCTATATCCTGCTACATTTCGCCGAAATATGGGTAATCTGTGCCAAGCCTGCGCCAAAGGACTAATTTCGGTTGCCTCTCAAAACCGAAACTAAACTGAGTACCGTAATTGAGCATGCGTGAGCTAGGTGGTGCAAGCGACCCCCCGACAGAAAGTATGCTGCATCAATCGCCCATCCGGTCTCGCATGGTTTTTCCCGCCGTTCCTCATTTCGCGCTCTCGTGGGTCTCGTCTCGCATCCTCTTGAAAACCCCGACGCTAGCTTGCCGGGTACCAGCCATGCAGTCATGTTGTAAAACGAAACCACTTTTTTGCGCATTGGGAGTTACTTGTGATCTGAAGCACTCGCTTCTGAAAGAAACGGCCGTGGCAGCACTATTTTTGGCCCCTGCCTACCAGTCGCCGTGGTTATGACGTCGGGTGTTCTCGTCCACACATTGCTGCAGATATGGCGCTTTCTAAAATGAAACGTAAGGACCGCTGCAGGGTAACCAGCAATCCTGTCCTTGTTTAAATTAAACGCTACTACAAAAATCCCTCTAGCTCAAAGACTGTTGTGTCGAAGTACTGTTTACCTAGGTTTCTCTCGGTGGGATTTCTTTTGAGAGGGACCCCGGTACGTGAAAAGTCTGTCGCAAAAGAAAGTTTAAGACAAGTTAGCTAAAGCAAAAAAGGCAATGTCTGCACGCTGAACCCGCACAGCGCGCTTGTTTATCTTGAGTTCAGTTGTTGCACAAAGCGCTCCAAGAATTTTTTGACCCTGACTCGCAATGTCTTGCATTGATGCGCTCAGGTTCTTTTTTTTTATTAGCTTTATTGTCCTTGTTTTGTTTGCGCTTTTTAACCTTTTAAATTAGCTTGTGCCTCGCATACTGGCCTGGCAAGCACGTGCCGCTGGACTGTTTTTCTTTTTTTTATGCTGGATTGTTACATTTTGCATACAATTTTGGGGACCAGATGGCGACGGAGCGGAGTGGCAGAGTTTCGGTTTCGATCGAACAGCCGTCTCCGTTCGCACAACGAAGTGCGTGCATCTGCAGGCTGCCGAAGTTTCCCTCACATGCATGCGAACATGATTACATGACAGAGGTACCAGCCGGGACGCTTGCAATCCATTGCTTTACATTTGCTGCTTCTGACGAAAATCTGGCATGTCAGGAACCAGTAAAACGGTGGGAGACGTTTTGGAATTGCTCGGCAACGCCTACAGCGCTGTACACTTGTGGGATGTCTCAACGTCTCTTCGGAGACATTGAAAGTGGACATTCATTACTTCCCGAAAGCTAAGCGAGGCTTGCAGCAGCATTGCAGAAAGTTTCAACAAGCAAAAGTAAAAGCACCCACCAGTCGTACTGCACGTTTTTCATATGTACAGTTTCGTATTGCATTGCAGTAGTTACGTGTTTCATCAGTTGGATACTGCTTCAATTTATTATATTATATAACTAGTGAAGTTTATGCTTTCATATTTACTGCTAAGCTGGTCATTTTCAAATAAATTTAATATGTGCAATTTGGTTCTTATTTATCTATAGCGGGTACATATATATATGTATCATTTAACTGAAGCATTGCAAAATATGTTGTGTCATTGGCATTTTAGTTAACAACTTGAAAGACTCCCAGATCGTCTAACTTGACCATAATTTGTTTATTGTGGCGAGCAAAGTGCCCTTCCTTTGTCCAGCACTTAAAACAAATATTTTTATTTTTATAAAAAAAATCTGCTCCAAAAGCCACTTTTTGCTGCTCCGAAACACTGTTTTGGCTGCTCCAAAAGCCACTTTTGCTGCTCCAAAACGCTGTTTTGGCTGCTCCAAAACACTTATACAATCTTGTGCGCAACAAAGACGAGGACAAAAGCAGAAAAAAGGACACAACAAGGCGCAATCTTGTGCGCCTTGTTGTGTCCTCTTCTCTGCTTTTGTCCTCGTCTTTGTTGCGCACAAGATTGTATAAGATGTCAAACCAACTCGCCCTAACAACCACTCTTCCAAAACACTGTTTTGGTTGCTCCAAAAGGTGCTCCAAAACGGCTTAGGCCAATCACATCACTGCATTTGTTTCCTGGAAAAGTAAAAATTTTTTTTTCTGTGCAATCCTGTTTAAACGTGGTCACAAACCGTAACCGTAACTTTGGCTGAGGCGGGTAGCATTTCCCCCTCATTGTCGATGACATCGGCACCCACATAGTACAAACAGTCGTGTGATTCACCATATGAAGAGGCGCAGCGCAAGCGTCACCACATTGCAGCAGGTGTTGTATCCAGGGGCATATGTACCGCTGCGGATTGTGCTCTTGTCATTCAGAAATGCAGCCGAAGTTGTTGATAAGACATTAGGGAAAGAGGGGAGACGTAGTACACTATGCAGGATTAATGGGATTAATTTTTAGCAGACTGCTGGTGGGGCGTGTTCACAATGCTGCATCCAGCGCACTGGTGCACGTGTCTTCCACGAGGCACTCTGGATCGCGCCAGTGGTGCCATTGGGCTTTGCTTGAAAAAGTAGAAAAAACAAAAACTTGGACTTCACCCACCAATCTTAGCAGATTTTGCTGCTTGGTACATCTCAAGCTTTGTTGACCATTTTAATAAATATTTAGACTGAATTACGTCGTAATATTTGACATACAAACTTCTTTTATGAAGGTTCGAATGAACATGGAAAATTTGTGTTACAAGAAAGAGAAGAAAAGCAGCTGGTTATGAAAAACAAGAAATAAGCTGTACAACCAAATATTCACTACAAAGATGATCATAAAACAGAGTCGAGTTTCGTCCAGTCCGGGCCAATCCGAGGAGTCAAGCCATTGGACGTTTTGTTGTCATTCCCAAGACCGTCAAGATGCGTTTGATCGAGGAACAAACTCGAGCTGTAACGTGGTGGAGTGTTGGAGTCTGGGTGCTCTTCATTGCATTTTGATTCTTGAACCAAATGGAGATTTTTGAACCAAACGGAGATTCTTTGGCACATCTCCTTGAGCTCATTAAGAGCACTTACATCACTGAAGCGCACTACAATTCACTTGTTCTAGAATTACAAAATACGGTTATTGCTGTTTCATACAAGCAGATTGAGGTAATTTTCTGCTGGGTCCCAAGCCACGTCGGCACTCCAGGTAATGAAAAGGCCAATAGTTCTGCAACTTCTGCAAATGAGAGACAAGTAGACATACATAAGACACCATACAAAGACTACCACATCCCTTTGAAGTGTTGCATTCAAACAAAGTGGCAGCGTGAGTGGAATATGAAACACATAACAAACTGCGTGCTGTACGACCTTTCTTAAGTAAGAGGGAGAGTGCCCAGCATCAGGAACACTTTTATGAGGTGGTCCTGTGCCGGGTACGGATTGGTCATACACGTCTCACCCATGGGCATCTCTTGCATGGAGAGGATGAGTGTGAGCACTGCAACATTTCTCTAACATTATCACACATCCTACTTGAGTGCTTCAAGTACCGTATTTGCACGAATATAACGCGAGTTTTTTTTCGAAATTACGTGCTCCAAAACGCACCTCGCGTTATATTCGGAATCGAGTTCAGCCACAAGGCGCGCGAGTCTGGAGAAAGCCAAAGGAGAAAGTCATCCCTCTGGCTCAATGCAAAAGATCCAATGGAAAAAGAAGTGGGGGTGTGGAGGCGCATTTTCTAGCCATGGGGCCACGTGAAGGGCGAATAGAAAACAAAAAAGCATTTTATCGCTTTTGTGTTTTTACAACGCGCGCACGCCGGCCAATTTGAGCCAAGCCAAGCCGGGCCAAGTCAAGTCAACACAAGCCAAGCCAAGACCACTGACCGCGTTTACGCAATCGTGCAACACGAGGCATTTGTTTACGAACAGGGATCAGAACAAGAAGTGTGATCGTGTATCGGGTTCAGCAGTCTTTTTTTCTGCCAGCGCATTGTTTAGTTTCTGCTCCAAAGTGGTCTGGTGTTTGTGTGTTGGTGCTTCTGCTTCCGCGCCTTGTCTGGATTGTGGGCTGCCGAGGAGCTCCCACGGAAGAAGAAAGAACTACCAGGCAAGCAGGTGCCGTGCTGCTGCATACCTGCGTAGTCGCCAAGTGGATTGTAAACGGAAGGACCTGAACAGTGAGGATGAGTGCAGTCAAAACATAAACTGATATTTCTTCTATTTCCATTGACTTTTCACTTTTGCTGTGCCCCCGAGTGCGAGAAATTGACGCGGCATCGGTTCGCGTTATAATAGTAATAATATTTTTTTTCTTTTTGGGCGCATCAAAAACTGTCCTCGCGTTATATTCGTGCAAATACGGTACATAGTTTTATCACATCATCACCTACTACAGTAGACGCGCGCTAAACGAAACTCGCATAAACTAAAACGTCTCTTCAACGAAACAAATCTAAAAAAATTAATTGGTTTCCTATAAAATGAGTACTAAGTTGTGCTCGACAATCGAAACACCATTTTGCGGGCAACACGGATCAATGAAATTGAAACTGAGCTTCGTATTCACTTCGTTATTATCGTTATCCAGAATCAAATCTAATCTGGTATGCGGTCGCACCAGTCATGCCGCACACTTTTGTTTGTGGACGCCATTTTGCACGTATTGTTCGTCCGGTGTTGGTCTGTCACGTTTTACATATGTGATTCTCTACAAGCGTCTCTCTCTATGTGCGTGCAACATGGAAGGAACTGCTAAGAAGCGCCCGCATAATGCATTGTCTTTAAGCGACAAAATGAAAATTCTTGAAGGCGTGAAGCGCGGCCAGGAGCCGAAGACGCCCATCGCGAAAAGGCATGGCATCCCGAAGTGCACTCTTTCGAGAATTTTGAAGGATGATGACAAGATTGAGAAGGCATACCACAGTGGCGCTTTCGCCCCCGGTAGGAAGAGAATGTGTCTAGCCGACCACGAGGGCCTCGAGAAGGCGCTTTTCCTGTGGTTTAAGCGTGCCGGAAGCTGCAGCCTTCCAGTGACTGGACCTATTTTGGAGGAGAAGGTCGAAAATCGATTTTTTGGTCTAAAGACCCATGTCCCCCTTAAATGAAACTGCTGATAAATGAAACAGATTTCACTGTCCCCGTCAAGTTTGGTTTAAAGGGAGTGTACCGTATAGCTCTTTCTTCTTCCAAACCCTTACTTATACAATAGTTTACGCTCTTGGCGCATTTTGGCCTGAGCAGCTCTTGCGCCATGAAACCACAATCAATTAATCAATCACTCAATCAATCAATTTTTTGGCACATCAGTGACTTGTTTCCCTAGGATCAGTCTTCCAATAACATGGATGAGCCGGCGTAGTTGTAGCGAATTCACCCGACAGCCCAGCCCTGGTTTGTGCCATGCTTTCCAAGCGTCTAAAGCTCCTTGGTAAAATTCACGCTTCGCGTTTCTTACAAGAACCAACAGCCATTGTTGTGCGAGTGCATGAGACACGTTCCACGAGCGAGTGCTCCACCACCATTTGTTTCCAAGGGCTGCTTATTTCAATGCTATGCTGCCATTTGCTTTTAAGGACTGCACAGGCCTTGTGCTTTAGTGCATCTGGCGTTACTTGCAAGACAAATACAAACACATCAAGGTGCTTTACCAGCTCCCAGTCATGGCTGCCAGCTCGTGGCTGTTCTGTGCAGACTGTACTGTTTCCGAGGGCTTTACCTGAATTTATGCAACAGCAAGATTCTACATTAAAAATAAAAAAAATTACTTGGAGCTTAGAACCCTTTCTGAACAACTACTGTTGTAGCTGAGGTATCATGAAAAATGTGAATGTTCATTCAAGAGTGCGAAACTGTCAACACAATAAACTCCTCATTCTAAAGAGTGTATAGAACCAACTTACACTAAACACTCAAAGCTGAATGAAATTCATTGATAAATTAGAATGAAAAACGAAGAGCCGTTAAGCTTCTCCGAAGTGATCGGGAAAATTATATATGCAAAGTTTTTAAATGTAAAATATTTCTAATGTTCCAGCACATTGCATATTCAATAATGTGGATTAAAACCCCAAAAGCTTCCACAAACATGCACAAGAGCCATCATCATCAAAGGTTCAGCATAGAAGACAAAAGCCAAATTACGTTAGAATTGCATCAAAACGCTGCAGACATCGACGAAGTATGGAACAATATCTTCGATAAAGCTCTTACTTTCAAATAGGCATTTTATGACCAATTTCTAACCACCTACCTAGCGTATGCCTATCAGCTGACCAACAGGATGTGTGATCCAGTAGAGTGATTGGGTCATACTCTGTTTGCACTTGTTCAACCTTTTCAGGGTTAACCCTACCCTAGGAATACATGACGCGCAACCTCACTTTGGGCACAATCTTCTTTTTATTGAAAAACTGTGTGTACCTCAAGCATACTCTTATTTATTTTTTTTTGAAATACTTACAATCTTCTTTCTATTGAAAAACTGTGTGTACCTCAAGCATACTCTTATTTTTTTTGGAAATACTTCCTGGCTCCACTCAAGAAGCCTAAGTAGGAGGGGGTACACCATGCGACAAAAAGCACAGTCATAAATAGAACCAGAAAAAGGAAAAACTCGGGTAAGTAAAATTTCCACAGCAGTAATGGAATTTTCAACAGGTGTTAAGATGACAATATCGTTTGGTAGCTCATTCCAATCTTAAATTGCCCGAGGAAAGAAAGAATATCTAGGTAAAACAAACATTCTTAAACCTGTATTGTTTTAATGCTCTAGTATGGTTTAGGCGTCAGGACCCTATCGATAATGGTTCTAAGTAGCTAGAGCTTTCGATTTTAATAGTGCCGTTAAGAATATTATACAGTATTTTTAATCTATCAATCTTTGCTCTTGTTTGCAACGGCTGAAGCTGCACCCCGCGAAGCAGTTCTGTCGATGAGGTTCCTGTACTAAAATTATTAAAAATAAACCGAGCAGCTAGCTTCTGAATGCTTTCAAGCTTGAGAATACCATTTTGCACGTTACGATGCCACACTGAGCTGGCGTATTCTAACACAGGTCTGACAAAACTTTTATAGGCTATAAGTTTAGTATCTGAATTGGCAAATTTTAATTTCCTTCGCAACACGAACAAAGTGCCCCTCACTTTATTAACAGCCGCTTCCAAGTGCTGGTCCTAGTTGAGTTTACTATTAAAAACAAGCCCTAAATATTTGTATTCCTCGACTCGTCTAAGAGGTTGCTCCTCAAGTAAGTAATTAAATTAGATCGGCTCTTTTTTACATGAGACTGTCATGATGGCTGTCTTTTCTGATGCCATATGCTCCTGTTTGTGCACCATCTTGCCAGCATCCTCACCACGCATTTGAATCAGCATCATGTTCGATTATCTACTGCGGGTTTGGTCGTAACCACTTTGGAGCTGCCTAAAAATAATGAATTGAACAATTTTATCTGTTAGTTCTATACGTTTCATTCTGTCTTCTTCGAAACCTTCAATAGAACAGTCACCATCACCGTCAAACAAGATGTCGATGACCTCGTCACACACATGGTCAGGTGCGGTTTGCAGAGATGCAGAAGGGGAAACCGCTGACGTCAGTCGCTCGAGGAGCTCACCTTCTTCGGACCCATATTGGGGCAGTAGAAATCCCGCACCACTCGAATGATCGGGCCACAGATAGCTCAAGGAAGTTTTTAGACTTTTTTTTTTTTTAAACTGAGGTACTGGGCGTTCATAATAACGATACAAAAATTCCTGTATTTACCGAATTTGTTGCCAAAATAGTTGTCTATTGTTCGAACTGCAGGTATCCATATTAACGGGGAAAAATTGCATGGTGAAAAATTGGTCGCTGAAAATTTAGTCCATAATGTGGGGTCCATATTAGTCCAGATTAACAAGACATGACTGTATTCACCGGTGATTGTTTTTTTGTTTTTTTTTTGTAAACAGGCTCACTTCTGCCCTCTTTTGGGGGATGTCCGGTTGTCTTTTACTTTTGTTTCGCAGTCTACGGTTAAATGTCATATTGCTCAAAACGTGCACTGATTCTTACGATTGTATTACGATAATTTTTCAAAGCCACACTGTTGTTCCTAAATGCTATGTGAGTCAGAAGAACAAAACACTTTATCAGAAATTAATGCAAACAAAAATGACACAAGAAGTACTCGTAAAATGGTGAGCGATTAAGATACTTTCATTTTCTTGATGATAGAGAGAGGTTTTGCAACATAAAGATAACATACCTGGAATGCTGTTGACAAACAGAACTTTTGTGGGGGGTGGAACCAAACAGAGTAAATGACTTGTAATCTGTTACCAGGCTCGAGTAGACCTAAGAGATCTGGAAGTGTGGCAGTAAATGTGTATATGGGAATGATTTTAATGTGGAAATGTCCGAGGCAAGAACTGGAATTTTCAAGTGATTCTCGTACCAATGTAGATTGTGTCTCTTTTCTTTACAGGTGCTTGGATTGATGGCCTCTGCATTGTATGCAGTTGACGTGGCTCTGACGTTCAAAGCTCGTGCCTAATATTGGTGCCAATACCAGATAACTTTTGTGGGGCAACCTTGCAAGCAAATGGGTTTGCATTTCACAATGTTTTTCTTTCAAACACAACTGTAAGCATGTCTCTTGCTCTTGCTCAGGATCTAATCATTTTGGTTCTATGGAGTTGATTTATGTTGTTTGGTTTTTACTTTGGTGCCTCTAGCATGAGTCGATGTGGCTTGTTGAATACATAGCAGGTCATTGGCAATGATGAATCCCATGCTGTAACATACAACAATATAATGAAATGTCAAAGTAATATTGCCAATTTTTGTTTGATGACAGTTAAGTTCCCAACAATTATCTTGACGAGGAACAATAATTTTACATTAGAAATGAATTCAAGAAATAAGAGTAGTAAGCACAAAATATTTATTGAGGCTTGTGAGGTTTGTAAAATACAAAAAAAAAAAAAATTGAATTTTTGTGAAATACTTTTTTTTTTTTTGTGTGTGGGATGGGATTACTCCGAAAGCTTTCTTGCCATTTCAGCACATTGCGTAGTGACGCTAGTAAAATACTAATGCATAGTTGTATAAGGTTTTATTAGTGCATTTTCATTGGTTGCTGAAGGATGGTGCAACAATGGGTAGATGCTACTATTTTTTTTTTTTAACTGTCCTTAGTTATGTAGTAAGTTTAAGTAAGTTTCTTTTTCTTGGTGTTTGCACGAAATGCTCAGATTTAACCATTCCAGAGCTTGGGACACATTTTGTTTTATTTATGGGGGCTAAGATTGATATATTAATTATGATAAAAAAAAATAAAAAAAAAATTGGATCAGTTGTTTATTTTGCAGACTTTTTGAAAAGTAATAAATGAGGTTTTTCTGCTTAGGACGATGTGAATGGTGAGATTTCAAAGATACCATTTCAGCTGACATTGTGTTGAACTTGAAGTAGAGGTGGTCTTGCAGATCTTGAGTAAAAATTCCAAGAGAAAGGCTCTCATCGTTCAACTGAGACGATTCAGAGGCAGTATAGACCTGCATTTTACAGAGGTTGAGAATAAATGTTTGATTTTAGGTGTCTTTCTGACAATGGAGCTTGATTTTAATGGTCATAGGGGTAAGGTAGATGAGCCTTCTTTCTTCTTTTTTTTAGGTCTAATATGGGAATGTGCTGAAAATCTTTTAAGAAATTGCATGTAGTGAACCCTTTTGAATAATGCTGAGACATTCACATACACATAGGTACACAACGCTCCATGAGCTCTGAACATTTGCCAGGAGTGCTGTGCGCCTGCCAATTAGTGCTGTAGCTTGATGAGATCAAACTTGTTTTTCTTTACCTTCTTACCCAGGTGTATAAATTTTTTAATGTTTTCACCTACAACATACCGTAAAATCCTGGGAGATGTCCCTCCCTCGTAAGGTAACCCCTATTTTTGGCTTGATTTGCTGTTTTCCTTGAAACACTGAAAGATGGCCCATTCCTAGTAATCATAGTGTTTGGATCAATGATGACCTTGGCATAAATAAGTTAGGTTAGCTATGGTGGGATATAAGCAAACAGTGCTGACTGGGAAGTACAGTCATCTTTGCTTCATTGCCCCTCCCCGCGATAGCAAGTTTAACAGAGGCACGTGATCTAAAAATAGCATTTTTTGCAACTTTTCTCGATTGCACATCTAAAGTTAGCCCACTCCTTTTTTTAACCCAATTTTCCCCTTATTTTAGGTGGGCTATCTCGGGATTTTACAGTATCTACATTTATAATAAATTTCCCTTCAGTCCTGGAGCCATTTTAATCTTGGTTCCCAAAGTTCTGCAGAATTATCTTCCCCATGATAGTTAATTGCAGTTAATCAGTACACAACTGTATTTCTCTGTTTTGTTTTATGACAGTTAAGTTCCCAACAGTTATCTTTAAAAGGAACAAGAACTTTAGATTAGAATTTGATTCAAGAAAGAGAAGTAATCTCGTAATATTTATTGAGGCTTGTGAAAATTGTAAGGTACAAAAGTACCTTCTTTTTTTTTGTTTGTCAAGTAGCACTACTATGTGCAGCTTTTTTTTTTTGCCATTTTAGCACATTGTGTAATGACCCTAGTAAAATACTAATACAAAGTTGTATAACGATTTAGTAGTGCATTTCCATTGGCTACTGAAGGATGGCACAACAATGGGTAGATGCTGCTATTTTATTTGGTTTTCTCAGACTGTCCTTAGTCATGTACTATCTCGAGTAAGTTTGATGATGTGGAACATCATAACTGATGTTCGAAGTCATTCATCCAGAATTTATACATACTAAAAAGGTTGGGAGGATGTGGGAAAGCACAATCTTGAGAGCATAAGGCCTGTCATTAACTCATAAACCATGCTCTAATATGCAGTAGATAAACAAAGTGATCTGCCAAGAAGGCACCTAGTGTTTGCTTCCTGTGATTTAGACTGCCGTCTAATGTCTGTTGTCGCGTTTGTTGTTTGTCCTGTATGCGTGGACGATCAGATTATTGTGTTTTCATTTGATTCTCAAACTTTTACGAACCTCTGACAAATGTTAACTCGAGCAATTTTTATGCAATTGGTACTTACTTGAAATATCTATTGAATTTTACATTATATGTGTTTTGGGTGAAGCCTAACACACAACCAGAAACGGAGGTGTCGGAACTGTTTGGGAGATGGGTGGGTGACGGTGGTGGTGGTGGTGGGGGTGCTGGAGGGATTTTCCTTCCCCTCCTCCGTAATCTTAAAAACTTTTTAACTGTCTTTGGAAAGGGGGGGGGGGGGGTAGGTATAGGTCTAGGAGGAGGTGGAGGTGGGGGGGGGGGGGGGGGATGGAGGGAGGCGACTGCCTCCTCTGCCCTCCCTGTTCTGATGCCACTTACCAGAAAGAAAGAAACCAGCCCCCCATTTTCCTCTCTGTTCCAGAAAGGAGGAAAGCCATTCTCCTTTCTGAAGGGATTGGCTTCCAGACAGAGTGAGGAGGAGGGGAGAGTGAGATAAAAAAAACTGGGGGCGGTTTCCTGCGCAGCTGAAAACAGTTTTGTATATCTGCTTTTGAGATGGATTCCTCTGAGCTCATGCTCGTTGCTTGAGTGGTATGTTTGCTTTGAGCTATAAATTTGAGTCTTGACTTCATGGGAATAAACATGATTGCTTTTGCATTAACTGGAACCTCACATTTGTATTTCATACATAGTTGTATTGAATGTTTGTTGGTACTAAGTTTTTAGGAATAGCCAGTAAAAATTTATTGGCACACCTCAGTCAGTTTAAAGCACAGGTTTTGTTGACTTATTGATTTGCCTTGCCAGTTGATATTGTCTGCCAATTGATGCATCTGTAGCACTTGGGGCCACGGTGTATGCAGCGATCACAATTGAATGCTTTTTTTTAGAACTGAGCGTCTGTGAACTGTGAATGTTTGTGTGAATGCCGTATCGGCACTTGTAATATTCTGCTTGTGAAAGTTAGCATGAAGCACAAAAAGTCCCTATGCATGAAATGTAGAAAGATATCTTGGATGACCAAACCCTTTTCTGTGAGAAATTTACCTGTTTGCATGCAAAGTAAGGGCTACAAAACAGTGCTACTAAATATCAATGGGGCTGGTTTGTTCATGCTCTCATAACCACTTTTTCTATCATTTGGAGTCTTGAAATTGTGTCCATCAGTATGAAGAGCATTTTAAATGATATTTTTGATATGGAAAGTGAAGCTTTGCCCTACTACAAGGAGGTTGGAGGCCTGCAGGGAACTTGAATGTGACTCACCGGTGTGGGTTATAGATAGAGCGAGTACTTATCCCATGTTGACAAAGACTGTTCTGGTCTATGTAAGAATATAAAACAGTGCAAAAGCTATAGTCTTTGCGAATTTCACAAATTGACAAAAATATTGCTACATTTAAATAATGTCTAGAAAACACCAAGCGAAAATTGTTTAATTTAGAACCAGGCTTTAAGCTGGAACTTCATTTTTGGAAATTGTGCAGGGTTTGTCAGTAGTGTGTGCATTGCAGTTACAAGAGAACAGATACCTCTGTAATTATGCTTGTTTTCAAAATTTATCGGCTACTGGAAAAGCGAATGCTAAACTTGTCAACCGTAACATTTACAGAGCTCTTTGTTCCAGAATTCTGCAGTAATATCAAAATGCAAACCTCTACTTTATCTCTGATTTAAAGCTACTGTCAGAATGAATGACTCTACTACGGTGCTCTTTTGTAGGTATCCGTGAAATGAAGTGTGAGGACTCACAAAGATTCATGAGATAATTACAAGACAATTTGAGGATGGGCACTTTATTGAGTCAAGTTTTTGTGTGCTTCGTATGTTCCAGCCAATTGTGATCTTTCCAAAAGCAGAAGGTGGGTGCTAGTTCTGCATATTCAGTCGGCATTTTGGCCTGGCCTCTTTTTTTCTGCCATAGAGCTTTAGGAACCAAAACTTGCACATTCACTTGTTTGAACTAGTGGCACAATCTGTTCCTGTCAGATGTATGTATGCCACTACTTTTGTAGTCTGTGGGAAATTGTTTTCCAAAGCCTTTTCTCCCTAAAAAGTTTATCTCCAAGTCAGGATAGCAGGTTCTTTTTTTCCTAAGAACTTAAAGAACTGGAAGTCAACCTGCTACCCCTGCAAAAAAAGTCTAGACGGTTGTTGCAGGAAGCTCGGAAGAGCTCCCAATACAAAGTTTTCCCCGCTGTTACATTCACAACCATGGGGCCCTTTTGAACTTCCATAGGAATGTCTATCAATCAGGTTGTCGAACCCATCCTTTTAGCCCAGGCCCGGAATCCCAGCTTTTAGAACTTTCATACTTTAAGGGCTCCATATAATTGGGACCATGAAAATGAAGTTTTTTTTTGCAGTAAATAGTATCCTGTTTCCATTTTCAAATGTTTCTAGGTTGGCTATTGAGTTGCCACCTGCCCGGTTTTTGACCGGCATGGCCGGATTTTTGGATAAAAGTTTGGTTGCCGGTCTCTATCTAAAACCGGCCGTCATTTGCCGTTTTTTTTTTACGAGCGCATATTATTTTTTTTCTTTTGGAGGAGGGGGGGGGCATTGATATGTATATTTTAAACCATCAACATTATTTTTAATCTAGTTTTGTCAATAATTTCTTTGTGCTTGGAATTGTTTAAATTGTTTAGCCGGAAAGAAGACATAATTTTAGTAAAAGACTGGTGGATTTACTGTTCAATGTAACACATAGAAAGTCTTTGTGATTTACCGAAGGAGATCAGAGATTGGTGAGCAAGGCATCACTGCGAGGACACAGTTATTTTGGAATTCATGATTGGAGAGGTGTGAAAACATGCTCGCATTACACGGATTCACGAGTGACCATGAGCTTTCAAGCTCATGCCGGTGCTCGTGGTCTATACTCCGCATTCGCTACCGAAAGATCCAGAACCAGCTATTTTTTATAAAAATAGATTTATTGTTTAAATCTGCACGCTGTGCGTCATGCTCAGTGTCTTAGAACCATTTTTACTCAAAGCGTTAATTAATTTGCAGCCATTTTTATGTAAACTGCAATACCTAATCAGTTCTTCATCTGCTGCACAGGATGAGTAGAGGTGCAAGATTTGTGTTTGTTGCTTTAATTTTGACTAAATGGTGTGCATCTATGTATGTTATTTATTTCACTGTTGTGTATTCGTGTGCTTACATGTGCTATGATGTATTAGATCTATGTTAATTGATTTTACATTGGGAAGCTAGTATCAAAATTGAATCAGTCATCAATTAAGACTGTCAACACTGCATCTTTCTTTTTACCAGTTCATTCTCACAAAATTACCCCCCTCCCCCGAAATGGCCAGTTTTTTTTTTTGGCAACTCTAGTTGGCTATACTAGACTACCAACACGGGCAGCATCTGTAGCATGATACCTGAGAGGATGTATGTAATGGTGGTTGGCAGGGTCGTGTAAATTAATAAGTTAATTTCAAATGCAGTTTGACAGGTGCAATTCAGATATTTCTGACAGTGGTTTAACTTGTTTGTTGCTTGTTGTCTGTTTTCATAGCAACCTACATTCCAATTCACCATTTTCCAAATTCCCGGTTTGAGAATTTTTCGGTTAGAAGCTGCATGGACATGGCACGAGTGAGCACAAACATTCCTTCGAATGACAGTGCTAGATCCTGTTGACTCCATTGAGCTACACTGACTGTGATTGAGCTGCAGAAACATAGCTTTTGTGTCCATTTGGTTTATCTTTCACCCCAAGTTAGTACAAAGAAGCTTCTCACCTCCCCTTCCTTCTGGCGACATTTCTTTCCCTTGAGATTCATACCAAGAAATCCTTGAACCAAGTCTTCGACAGGGGGCACCAGTTCTTCCGAAAGGATTGATTCTTTTTTGCACACCAGGCAGTATGGATGAAGCGCAGTAATGCTCCTACCACATTTCTCATTGCTTCATAACAGAGACCTTCAACCTCCTTGTTTATAGCCTCCTTGATTTCCTTTATATAATGTGTTATAGTAACTGATATTGGTTATTGATGTACATGTATTAGGCTGTGCTGTTGTTCTTGCTGATATGTTTCTCGGTTGTAAATAGAATTACTTTATTGCAGCACTGGCACATACCTGAAGCAGTTGTCTTTATTCAGAGTTTCCACCCAGTGCAAATTTTAGATTTTGTTTTTTTGCAGTACTAATAACTTTTTGGTACTAAACGGTTGTGAAGTGTTGCCATGCTTTTTTCTGCGACAGACGTAATAAAGTTATTTTCCCCTTACTAAATGTGCTATGTTTGGCAAATGTTTCATCTTCCTTGGAAGTACCTACTGATTACGCTTTAGGTGCTTTGGGTTGCATGGTGGTGTGCAAGATTTTCTAATGGGCCTGGATAGAACACATATGCCACCAAAAGCACTTTCCCTGACAAAAACAAAAGAGCATTTTTGGGGGAGTTTAGTGTCTCTAGGAGGAGATTCCAAAATATGCTTCTATTTTGGGTCGACATACTGAAACATCGGAAGCGCCCCCAACTCAAAAGATGTCTTGCAACGTAAATATTGCACTAAAACTTTTTTTCTTCTTTTCTTTTTGGGAAGGGGGGGGGGGGGGGGAGAGGTTTTTTTTATGACATACATTGTCCATCCAAGAGTTCAGTGTTCCTTTAAGAACACACAACGGTATAGACCTTTGCAAAAATCGCCTTCTGCGTGCTGCCATCTTTGTCTGCTGGGCTGTAGAATGCCTTCTGAGCACGCGCTGTTGCTCTGCTGCGCGGTATATCAGACACTACTGTGCATGCGTCCAGAGCTCAGTGACTCAGCATTTTTTGCCCGGGGTGATAAGCGATGCAAAGGTCTATATGCTCACACAAAGCATTTATACCAGGGGTGGCCAGACCGAGGCCCGTGAGCCGCATGCGGCTCTTCGCAGGTTCAATTGCAGCTGGCGGCTCCCTGGTAAGCTTGTCTCCACCTCCCTCCCCCTCACCTCCCTTTTTTATTTCCCTCTACACCCGTTCTCCCCTCAAGAAGATACAAATTGTGCATTTTTCATATGCGGCGCGAAGTAGTTCTTACGAGATTAGGTTGTCGGAGGAAAAAGCGATGAGTTTGGCGTTTGGTTCACCTCAAGAATCGCAGTGAAAAAAGTATGACACCTCGTGGACCATTACTAATTTCCCCGTTTATGTTGATAATTAAGATCTGTGTAGGTGAATTTTATTGGACCAACCGGATAAATGATGTTAGGGTCAGTGACATAATGATCAACAGCTTTAAGAATGGAAATCCCACCAACTGAGATTAATGAAATTATTAAAAAATGTCACGCCCCCTTTTTATTGCGACTCTTCAGTTGAAATAGTCCTTTTTAATAGCTCTTTGCATATGTCAATCTGAATACCCTTGTGCATCTGGATACCTTGGATCGCACAGAACCTTGAAATAGGGATTCCAATGCTTACAGAAGTTGGACGGTGGAGGTCAAGAAGGTAGCGGCAAATGCCCCTCAAAGGGAATCGTATCCCTCCGCCACCTCCGCATCCAATAGCGTCCCACCGTTTCCGTGACGTCGCGGCCAACGCGCATGGAGGGTCTTGCCTTTCTGTACATATTTGCTTTATCTTTCGACTTTGACTTAGCATTGTGGAAGCCACGAGAGGGAGATTAGAGTTTTCGTCCTCCGATGGAAACAAATACGACTTTCGGGGATTAGCTTCCCCCTCCGATGGATACAAAGGCTGCTTTCAGGGGCTTGGTTCCCCCTCCAATGAATACAAAGGTCGCTTTCTTAAAAAGTGGGGGTCGAAGACAAGTTGGCACAACTCTGTGGCCATTATCTGTCCATTGACGTGAACAAGGAGCGTTTCCAGTGAACTCATCTTTCGACTGCGGCGGGATTTGAAACGGGTGCATCACGCTTGTAGGAGGAGCTTCTCCTAGCTTCTTGTGTAATTCTATGCAGTTCTATTTAACAGGTGTATATCTCTGCAGGGCAAAGTACACTTGCCAATCCCAAACTGTGCTGCTTTACTTTGATTTGATTACCATATGGGTCTTCAACTAGAGCGCAGATTAGCTGTTTAGATTTTTGAAAGATGCATCGGCTATTTATATTTGTAAAGATCATTCATATTGCCACTTGTAAACACTTTTGCTCATTGACACCACAGTTCTACTGAAGAATTGTAAACCAACTCCTACATAATTCACTTGTGCACTCCAGACTTGGCTCATTATTGTCCTGCTTTTTTGTTTTTTGTTCACTTCATGACTGGTATTAGAGTCCTTTGAGTGAACAGTGAAGAATACCCACGTTTGGTGTGGGAAATGCTACCAACCACGTGTTAAATATTTTTAAGGTTTTTTGGTCATTCTTTCGCTTCTTGGGGTCCAAGAAAATTATATTTTGCGACGCTGATTTTAGTTTAATATTTTGTTGATTATTAGGTGATATTTTTTTAATATTCAATATATTGTAGATTGTACCACACTAAAAATGAATAATGGCTATCTTAGACATAATTTGTTTTTATTGTGCTTATCACAACATAAATATTGATAATTTTGGAGTGATTTACACCTTCAATGGCATTCTTTTAAATAATACAGTCACTTTTTGCTTCCAGGCAAAAGCATTTCGGTAAAAGCTGCAATTTCGCAACAAAAAGAAAACAAGAACAAACCAATTGTGTTTTAAAATCAAGAAAACTAATAATAGAACAATTAGGTTTTTAAAATAAGAATATGCACGTTTTGCTTCCATAGTTTGGTATCTAATAAAAAGAAAAAAATCTCTGACACCCCGCGGCATTCTACCCCCCCCCCCCCCCTTTTTTTTTGGGGTCTGTTTTGTGGATGCGGGCGGCGAGGAGAACGTCAATTATTGCACTCACTTGTGCCCGTTAAAGAAGAAATTACTGTCTCTGAAATGACAAGCTGAAAAGTTAAACTTGCAAAAGGTTTCTGAAAAAAAAAAAAAAAAAAGACAAGAGACAGTTGAAAATAAAGGAACAAAACACTGCTCTGGGCTCAGCGCACGTCATGGAATTTTATTCACGTTTATGATGATCGATACTAAAAAAAAATGTACCATATTTTTTTTTTTTTTTGCAGCTACAAAAGCAAAAATTTGGGAACTTATAAAAACAACTTATGTCACAGTAGAAAAGCTCACCGGGCGTCTGACTCGATGCACGGCCATCGTGCCGGTCAATGTCCGTAGACCTTTTGGCAACCGTTTCTCTGCTGCGCTGACGTCAGATTCATCAATAAACCACAACGCAGTGGTTGACGCTTCGATCTTCATCATTTCATAAAAAATCTCCCGCGTCAACTATGTCATTCCCCTGTCGAAAAAGCTGGTCAGCTTTTCGCTTTGTTGAGCCTCTTACCCGATCAGGGGCTCCCTTCCCATGACCCGCCTAAAAAAAAGTTACAGGTCATCTCTGAGAATCCTGCTTCAAAAGTGGTTGTGGATGGGAAATAAAGGTTAATCACTAAAATATTGAAGATATATAACCTCGGGAGGCTTTCTTTGTGATGTAATGGAGCACAGGCTTGAGGTGCTCCCTGATGGTTGGGGGAGAATGGTTCATGGAGTTCGATATTGTGCAGAACTTTGTCAGCTAGCTCCCCTTTAGCCAAGTGGAAGACTCCAGTATGAAGTGTAACGTCCTCATAAGACGAACCGAAGTGAAGAGCTTGAATTTCTGATCCGTTGTGCACTGATAGTTGTCGGAGAAGTCGACATGCGCGTCTGCGTGTTGGTTGTTAATTTTTTGTTTGATTCGTGGCACAACTGACGCGTGACACGACTGACATTTCAAGCACATTTAAAATGTTCAACAAAACTCTTCGCTAGAATTGAATAGTTTTAAAACAGTAGAATGGTGTATTGGTTTTGTCAATGCTCCTTGTTTCCCATCAATAAATTAGAGAAAGTAGGACACCAATTATGCGTGACACCGCTTACACGTTGTGCAGTTGGCAGTACTGTGCACGCGGCCATCTTGGTAGCGTCAAGTGTCTTGAGTTTCGGTTTCTCAGCGTTTTCAGGGCATGGACGCTGCGTGGAAGTGCGATTCGAAAACTTTATTGTTTTCTGACTTCGAATCACCCAACGTCGACAAAGGTCTAGGCGGCCATGCCTTTCATCTCTGAGGACACTTTTAATTATTTTTTTTTTTCGATGCGAATATGCATGTGTTAGCACTGGTGGCGGCCGTCAGTGGCATCCATGACGCCACGTCGCACCTCCGTCCTCAGGTACGTGACGGCACTGTTCCATCCGCCTTGCGCGACCGTGCTGCGGCTATCGCTTTCGTTTCTTCGCACATGGTGGGCGAAAAATACGACTTTTTATTTAAATGAAAAGAAGAGGTCGAGATGCTATGGACAGCTTTCCTGTGGACCTTCATGGCTCGTTCTCCGGCTTCGAAATGGGACTACTAATTTTCATGCAAATATAATTAAGGATGTGCGGCCTGTGGTCTCATTATGAAAACAGTCGCTGCACTGTAGAGCATTTACATGCAAAATAAACTCGTTGCTGCCTCTTTACACTTTGCTATGCACCCACTGCAAAAGCGAGAGTCATACACGGTGCACTGTCCAACTGCGAGAGATACACTGTGTAATGTGCTCTTAGCAAAAAAAGAAAAGAAAGAAAAGGCATTAGCCACGATTTTCTTATAGAGTCAAATAAAACTATTACCATGCGGCGAACTGCCCTTGATATAAGCACAGTCAATACTCTACAAAAACATGCCATAACTATATATAATTTGATGCAAGTCAATAGGTGTTATGCACCAAATTTTTTACTTCGCGTCTCTATAGAAAAAATTGGAATATATTTCTATTGATGCAGCAGGAAGTTTGATTGATCATGCAGCTGAATTAACAGGTCTAGCGGACCAATATAACTTTACCAACTGTGCATTTCTATTATATCAGTGTACAGGGATATCTACTAGACAAGTGAATATTACGACTGAAACAATATGGATGGACAAGCACGTAGCCAGGGGGAAGGGGGGAGGGGGGGGCATGCCCCCCCCCCCCCCCCCCCTTCTTCCTGGCTACGTGCCTGTGGATGGAACAACAGAAACTTGTATTGGACCATCAGCTATGCATGCAGGATGTTTTCTTTGGGCTTTCGAGATTTGTTTTAAAAATATCCACGGAAGCTACCCTAAGGCAGTTTGTGCAGATGAGTTATACGGCTAGGAGAACAAGTATAGGGGGCTAATCGCCACGATGAGTTAGATTAACTAAAAGTCGTTAATTAACTTTTTAGGGAAAATAAACATGGTTCGAATTAGAAACCTGCTGAGCGTCATCGAAAACTACTAAACCAGTAAATTTTTGAAGATTTCGTGCGCGTGGGAAGTGCGGTGGTGTGCTAAAGTTGCCCCTGGTGCAACAGGCGCAAAGCTGGCAGTGCAAAAATTCAAACAATAAAAAAAAAAAAAATGCGCTTGCGCGTTTTTAAAATTTACTGATTTAGTGGGTTTCGATGGCACCTGGGAAGTTTCTGATTAGAACCTTAAGGCCCGTTCACACTCTTGCGACTGCTTGCGACCTCTTAAACCTGGGTTCCTTAAAACTTCTTAAACCAGAGAACACACTGGCGCCATCTATTGGGAAGCAGTGTAAACTCGGCGGTCCGGCATATTTTTTTTTATTTCTCGCGCAATATCCTTTCTTTTTTGGCTCGAAAAGCTTTTGTCAATGTTATAAACGAGCCTTTCTATGGGTATTACGCACATTTGACCTCGGAAATCCCGCAAAACCTTCGCTTTTGTGAAATGCAGTTCTAGGGTCACCGCATAGATGGCGCCACAATGTCAGTGTGTTCCCTCATTCTAGAAACATTTAAGAAGTTGTAAGAGATCTCGTCTCTCTCAGTCGTACTCGGTCGCAAGAGTGTGAACGGGCCTTCATATTTATCTTCACAAACTAAGTTAATTAACACATTTTAGGTAATTATTTTATCGTGACGATTTGCCCCCTATTTTATTTTCCTCTGGCCCCATACTCACCTGCACAGTTCGCATGAATAAAACTCACTTTTTTTTTTAATTTAACAATCTGTAAAGTAAAAAAAAAAAAAAAATAAACCCAAAAGCCTGCATATTAGACATAGGATGTATTTATTGGTCCATAAGTGGACCATTTAGGTAGACATGTCTGTCCAACATCCACGGGACATCTCGATCTACTAGCATGTTCGTGTGAAATCAGTCTTTAACTGGACGTTACAGCTTGGATGACTGATTCTCGTGGTGCCTTCACTGTTTGTAGTGAAGGTGCTAACAGCTAGCGGAACAACAGAAATAGCGCGAACCAAATAGACCTTTCCGGAAAATTCCAGTAGACCTTGCGGCGAGGGGAACTGTGGGGCTGTTCAGGTGTACGCTTGTGTCGACTCTAACACTTCGTATATCCTGAAAGCGGCTCGATTCATTCTTTCATGTCACTGGGAGCTCAGAATGCGCAAAAAATAAAGTGATTACAATAAGAGGTCATCACATACGTTGGTTTTCCTTCTGCCTTCTCTGCGTTCTTAGATCATAAAATGCTAAACCAACGTCAACTTCTTCTATACCTGAATACATAGAGTTATTATAATAATTCTATGCCTGAATAATCTCACGTACCGTACATTGAAACGTCACAATGCGTCAAGCTGACGTTGGGGGTGCCACATATTTCCGGAGGCATGTTTGGGGATTTTTTAAGAAATTGGAGCGACGAATAATAAATAGTAGTTAGAATGTCGTTTTCCCTACTTGCATATATATCACAATAAAAAATATAGAGCCTCTCTTTTGAATACTTGGAGATTGAGAGTGATTCAAAAACGCCACACGCGACCATCGTCCAAACCTCGTTCTTTCCCGCGTCTTTGAGATTTTTCTCTCACAGAAACTAAACATGCCAGGTCATTAAAATAAAAAGGGTTGTTCTTCTTGGAACACGCGCCACGTAATATAAAAAATTGAAGCAAAATAAAAAATACGACTGCACCTCGTTGCCTGAATCAAAATGAAACCGCCCATATATAGTATTAGTTGCTGTGTTGATATTGTGTATAAATATATGTGCCGATATGCAGTGGATGCGAATATTTTCGAGCGCAATAAAATACTTTTATCATGGATGACGCACATAAGAGAATTATATATATGAAAAAAAAAAAAAAAAAAAACTCGAATATCTTTGTTACTTAACAGGTTGGAAGCAATCGAGTGTTTTTTAAATGGCAGACTTTTCATGGGCCTCTGGACGGAAGTAAATATGGTGCAAAGTAATATATTTCTTGCTCTTCTGAATTTGTCTTAGGATAATACTTATACGGTAATTTAAAATCGAAAAGTTGATCTGAAGACAATCTAACCACAAGATATTGACAGTTAACTGTAAATTAAAAAAAAAAAAAAATTATGCTCTTTAACATGCAAAAGTAGCTAAATACCAACCAAACAGCCCCCCTCCCTTTCCCGTCTTTATTTGGCGTTGTAAATTGCTACCATTAAGGAGCAACAAGCAATAAACCATCCTTTAGCAAGTGCACATCCCCTCAACGACCAACAGCTCTCCTTTCATCAGTCCAATTTGAGAAGACCCCAATAAGCAAAACACGAAGTCGTGCGGCGTCGTGTCGTCTGCTTCTTACGGCAGCGTGGCCAGACAGCATTCGTGCTTCCGCCCAAAGAGGGGGGAGACTCCCGTTAATCCGCTTGCTGGCCATCTGAAGCGATGTGCTTCCGCTAAGGAGGCCTACGCCTGGGAGCCTGGGAGTGTACTATTCTTAGCAGAGCATGCTCTGCTGCCGCCGTTCCTCTAATTTTGGACTCCAGAGTGCATAGAAAACCAAGCGGACATATCAGCTGCCGAGTTTCGGCCGAACGTTCTTTCTGTTGTAAATCGAGCACAGCATCAATCTGGACATGCCGACCACCACGGTTAGGACCACGGTGGTAACCCAGGGTCCCAGCACGTCGTTCATTTCGGTACAGCGAGGATTCATCTCGACAATCAGTGGCCTGCTGACTGCTCTCGAAATGGTGGGTGCGGTCTGTTCACGTCTCCCTCGCAACATCGCCGCGTCTAGTTTGTAGTTCAGAGTGGTAAGTCCGTCGTCAAACGAGGCCTCAGCACGTGGGCTACGCTAGTTAAGTTGGAATACTTTGAAATACCTAACGACTCAAGGAATGTAAGTTAGAATCCCTAACTTAAGGATAGATTGGATGAATCTGAATCTCTGCTTCACTGCAAGGTGCGCGAAACTCTGATCGAGGTTTTTTGTTGTTAGTTATGGTTTCCCCCGGAAACCCCCTGAGCTCTCACGATTAGTAAGTTAATTCCTCTTCTGTCTTTGGTGAATGCTTTAGTTTTGAAAGCCTCTTCTGTCAGGAAAAAATAAGGTAAAAAAAAAAAAAAGAAAAGAAAAGAAACATGACTGGAAAGTTGTTTTCGGGAACGGACTAAAATCTATTTCCCAAAAATCTTATACAACGTAATACAATACAAACGTTGAATATTTTTAAGCGAAAAGAAAAAAGAAATTAACTTTTTCACAATGAAAGCCTTGAAGAAGCGGGCTTCGATTACTCGTCTACCAAGTTACACGTAACCGCGGTAAAGAGCGTGCAATTGTACAAAGCTTTTAGAATGTGAAAGGAGAGCAAATAACTAATTCTCTAATAATCTCTGTTACCAACGTTTTTTTTTTTTTTTTTTTTTTTGTTAGTCTTATGCGATTGAAATAACCGATCAGAAAAGTAATTCCCTATTCACTTGTTTTGTTGTCTTGCAGGTCCTTGGCATCATCGTATTTGCTTTAACGATGACTTGGCTATCAACCGGCTCAGTTCTTTTCCTCTCGCTCACTTCATTCACCTTCTGGATCATATCATTTTTCATACTGCTGGCGTCTGCACTGTCTGCGACTGGAACCGTGTTGCCAACTACTCTTTTTGTAAGTTTTCTGTTCCTCACATTGTGCCTGTGTCACCCTACAGACTTTTATTTCGCTACTTGTGTGTATATGGCTACGTGGTGGACATCTGTCAACATGAAGAGGAATCATCTGGTCGTGACGTAGTATTTCACCGAATGCGATGACTCCAAACTTTCACCGTGTTTTTTAAGCACACCATGAAACTTGTCATTCTCAAGTGATGGTAAGTGCTGTCACTGCAGTCATTGGCCACGAACACGAATCCACATATTCGTCGATGAATTGATTGTTGACGAGTGCATACGTTTGAGTGACGCAGTACTCCTGTCCAATGCGTGAGCTGGGGTCGGCTGGCGTACTTTGGGTACGTACCGCGGATGTATCACAGTGAAAAGGCGGAGAGCCTTCGAAGGAAAGGAGGTACGAATAGTCCGTTATATTTTCAAATCTTTCTACTTTCTTTCTTTTGGCGCACTGAGCGATATGCGATTAGTAAAGTGCAAAGCTAAACTCATTTATGCCAGCCCAAAAGTTTTCTCATGGCCCCTTCAAAGGTCTCCAGATGATCCAAATCATTTACCAGCATTTCTCTGAGGCGTAACAGGTTCTCAATGTTAGAGTGGAAAAGTAACTTAAAAAGTTTAATCTTGAATATATATATATATATAAAAAATGTCGCGGTGTTCACCTACGTGATGAGTGACGTTACTTGAAAACATCACTAATCACATGATTATTTTTTCTTGTATCTTTACTCTTGTTACGCGGACATTTGTTTATTTCATATAAAAATATTGTGGCAGCTTATTTTCTTGTATTTTCGTGGTCGCTTTTTGTTTTTTTAGTTGGCCTTGACATTTTATTTTGTGTCTTTTTGTGTTTCAAATGTGTATTGGTGACACTGTATGTTTGCGGGTCTTTCTTCTTGCTATCTTATATACTGACGTGAGCGCAGGCGGCTTTGAACAATTTTGAATTTTTAAGTTCTGTTTGTCTTCCCCTCTGTATACATGCTGATGAGCACTGCCAAGCTGCGTGAACACTCGATATGAGTTCGAATCGTGCTCGTAGCTCCAAGAAGCTGCGTTATGTCTTGATTTGCAACCAAAATGATCTAGACGTTCAACAACATCAGGACCGCCTCTTCAGCAAGTTCAACAAGACAAACTAGAGTGCCCTTTTTGTTTCTAGAAACATTCGAACACACTCGTGCCAGATCGGCTGTTTTCAGCAGTTCCTTCCGTTCAACGAAATAAAAAGAAGGCAAGAAAGCACCATCACTGTTTAACAGAATATAGACGGGTACACTCGAATCTGATTGACTGCCCAGTTTGGATCATGTTGATAACGCTGTGCCGTGGTGCGCTCAGACAACTTGTAGAAACCTCCGTGTCTCCGCGGAACACCACGACACCATTGTGTAAGGCATCCGTAACCTACAGCAAAACCAAACAAAATCAATTTGCTTTAAAACGTAAAAGAAAGCAAGTGAGAGTACACCGGCAACAAGTCACGTCACTTTAAAAAAAAAGAAAAAAAAAGTAAAACATAAAACAACTTTACGCGCGACTGGTGAGACCTCCCTAACAGGCTCCGCCTTGGGTCCGATAAAGGAGCTGGAAGAGACTCTCAAGTCGGTAATCATTTCATTGAAGTGGGTCTTGAGCACTTAGATGTAGGGACGTATTGGAGACCACACTGACAGTTCCTAGAGGTAGAAGGAGGCGTAAGAATCAATTAAACCAATGGCACAGTTAGAGTACCAGTAGCGACATGGCCTAGCTGGCAGCAGGAGTCAACGTAAGCTTTCGTCAAGTACATTCTGGATTTCGAATGGGAGAGAAGAGGTCGAACGTAGGGTGCAGTGCAGCCGGGCGTCATGCGTACCTCAGGTTATTAGCATAAAACTGGTAATCTACAACTCGCGAAATCGCAGCTTAAATGACACCGTGTCCATACGTTGATGACAAGTAAATTTGACGTGAATGTGTATGCAGTGAATTTAGTAAATTAAAGTTTCTGTGTAGTTTTGAATGACACGAAGTCTCGCATGGTGATTGCTAAAACAGCGAAGGGAGGGTTTTCTAAGATGTGCTTTTCGTGCTTATTCTTCAGTACATGGTCTTTCACATCGCTGGATTTTTCTTATACCTGAGCGGTGGCATATCCTGCATTGCCCAAGGACATCGTGGAGTCATCATTGCTGCCGGGGTAAGCACAGTGCTGCTACTAAGCAATAGACCATATGCAAAAATAAATACATAAATAAATAAAGCGCCACCTAGTATACTCGTGATCAATTATCAAATTTCCGCCATATTGGGGGTTCCCGTACCGATAGTTTCGCCTGAGAGACAATGGTGCCGGCAAAGTGGGAGTTGTAGATGCAAAATATGATCACGTGCTGCAAGTTCAGTGCGAACCCTTCACACAGCGTCTTCGGTAAAGACCATTTACTGACCTGGATGGCACAGTCCACTGCTTGAGTGGCAAGTCTTGCGACCTCGTTGCTGACAATTCCTGCTCCAGAATTTCGTTGCCGCCTTTGTTTTCTTCTTTGAACTGAACCTAAACATGAACCCGTTGAGTGCACAAATAAATTGTCCTAATATCATGAAAGCCGAGTTAAATACACATGCGCCTTGCCCACAGCTGCAAGATGTGGAAAACAACAACAACAACAATATGGTGGCTTTGAATGGCATGATGATGATAGCTGGCAAGAATTTCGCAAATAGCTTATTTGTTAACCGAAGTGGTTAACTCTCTCTTTTTACGTTAATCAGATGCGCATAGCTGCGCCATCGGCAAGATCGCAAGTGCCATGCATAAAATGCTATAGTATTTATGGAGCAGAACGTGCACTTTATTATCGCAACTGCCATGGCGCACCATACATTGACAGCGAATGGTGTAGAACTTTGCCGGCATAACCTGCTTGTTTAACCGCCTTCAGTGTACACCACAGGGTAAGATTTTCTCGGCTATGGTATAATTGCTTGCGCTTAAAAAATCGTCAAGAGCTTTAAAATTTTTAACTAATGTTGAGTTAAAGAAAAAGTTGATGAGCGGCGTAAGTTGAGAATATATACAATTCGCGAAAAATAGGTCCCGCGAACAATTCCGGTAAAATGTAAACACATTGGAATCTACATTAAGATCCCACCACGTCGCGAAAATTAAACACATTAGAATCTACATTAAGATCCCACCACGTCGCGAAAATTAGTAGCCGCGAATTATTCCAAAACCTTTGACCTAAAACGCGAAATATTGAGCCCATGAAAAATAAGTCGTTTACATAACTGATTTTGGTCTTGTAGGAATCGCAGGTGCAACAGTAATCTAAGCTGCGCGTGAAGCTTAGAGCAACTGAATATGTTAGCCGCTTCTAACATATATGATTAATCAATTAGTTTATTAATTTGGTTTGGATCTATACAAACAAACAAAGGAAATATAACGCAGCTCGGGAGGATCAAATACCAATTAAAACTTTAGTAATGTGCTGTGCTCTAACTGACTATTACGTTTCCGCGTAGTAAAGTTTGTACGATGAGAGAGGTTGGTTGCTGGTTGTTTACTGAACCGCATTATGAAAGAGTTAAAGACATGTGAGGAAAAAAATATTACCGACATAATTTGTTATAAAATTCTCTCAAATACGTCGCTTACGGCCCCCATTTTTTCATACTCCCCCAATAACATTTAATCTAAAAGAACACACACACAAAAAAATGCTTGCGTTCGAATTGTTTGAAGTCAACGAGCTGGGTGATTTTACCGGGCATGCTTCTTGAAGTTCGTTTTGGTACTTCATTTTTATCCCCCTAAAATCGTTCGGGATGGGATTTGTTCAGCGAACTGTAGAGAAATGACGGTTTGAGCTCGCAATTTAGGCTTTCGGCTTCCATCAGATCGTGTTATTGCTCAGCAACTAGGGTGGTCACGTTGTTGAGGCAGCAACAGACGCTTAAAGGCCGAGACCAGACTCGAGATTCTGCAAGGCAGAATATCCCCCTCACCACCGACGGAGATATGGCGGTGGCCAGTCGCCCCGCTTGCAGTCGTCTATGCGGGCAGAAAGTGAGGGAGACGAGGAGACGAGAGTGCACGGGGTCGTCAGAACGCCGAGCTCTGGTTGGAAGGATTAGTGGACAGACCTAAAGCTAGATGCCTTTGTCTCCACGGCACTCGTCGAACGCGTTAGAACGTGGAACGCCGGCGTCCGGCGTTTGACTTTCGCATTCGAACGCGTTCTACGAGTGCCGTGGAGACAAAGGCATCTAGCTTTAGGTCTGCCCACTAATCCTTCCAATCAGAGCTCGGCGTTCTGACGTCCCTCTCGTCTCCTCCTTTCCCTCACTTTCTGCCCGCATAGGTGCTTGTTGAATTTTGTGAATGATTTCTGTAAAAACGGAAATACATTTTGGTTACCCCACACGGTTCGATTCTTCATCCCTTTATTGGCACCTCTTTTTGCCTTCAGGTTCTAGCGCTGGTAACGTGCATCTTTCACGTGATTCACGCTGGATTCGCCTACAAGAAGAAGATATGAGCCAAGGGATTTACCACCTGACGTTGCAACAGCGCGCTCCGGCTATCTCACATGACGTCACCCATCTGAAACCAGGGATGGTCATCTTCAAACCAGAAAATTAGAAAAAAAAGCATGACGTTTTGATTCTTTTTAAAGGGCCAAATGCTTTTTTTTTTCTTTTTTTTTTGCATGTGCAAGCCCTGCTTTGTGTTCACGTTACCTTTATACAGCTCGCAGATATCTTAAGAGCGTCTCGGTCCGCAAACTGCCAGTTGTAGCAGCTGCTGAGGATTCATACTTGACTATCATATTCATGAAATAAGAGAGATTTTCAAAACCTCTGCATGTTTTCACAACAACATACATGGCCGAGCTACCCAAGAGATTTTCGAAAAAACGGAGGCTGTAAAATCAGTTCTGATTCACAGAAGCCTTCAGATATAGCTCACAGCGTGGGGACCCGTACGGCCAGAGGTCGACACAGCCCAAACTTCAAATCAAATCAAATCAGTTTATTTTTCACCTTGTACAAAGAAGATGAAGGAGCTGTGGAAAAAAGCTACAGCATTGCAGCTTGACGAGTCTACAGACCCTTAATATTGGCAGCTATGCAGCATCGTGCTTAAGTATCGACGATTTTCTTTTCCCCTTGTCGCACGAGGTTGGTATCAAAACTGCCAGCATTATAGATTGAGCTCATGTGTGGCACGAACTTGGGCACTGGCGTTTGGTGTTGAACGCTGGCCTGTACGAACAAATTGCAATGGAGTGCCAATGTCGTGTTCCTTTTCCAACCGCGTCGCGCAGTGCACATGTCATCATGTCGAGAAGCGATATTGTTTCCTTTGCAAAGTGAACGCCCAGTGCTACAAGTCAAAATCTACAAAACAAATCGCGCCGACAATCAAATGTATATAGGGCTAGCGGGAACCTGTCTGCCGGCCGGCTGTCCGCCAGCTAGTTCTCAGTGTCAATGTTAAGTTCTCACCACAGCTGACCGTCTTAATCGTACTTGCGAAGTTAACACTAAATATTTGCTCTCTGAAATATTGGTGACCTATACAATGATAACATCTTGTGCGCCATTTAATTTATTCGCCGGAAGTTCGTATATTGTTTCTGCAGAACCGACAGATGTGGCGATTGCTAACTCGTGCTGCCTACATAGTACAGATCGCTTCCCTGACGAAGACTCGCTTAACATTCAGGGCCTTGTACTGCCATTATACAGTGTTCGAAGCACACGACATTTTCGTCATGCATTTTCTACGTTTGCTCACAACAGAATACCACGTTCCGCTGAGTTGTAAACGAATGACAAATAAAGGATATGCTATACCAGTGTGGCTCAATTTAACGATTTACCTTGCTTTCCTCCATCATTACTTGTAGTTTGGCCCTTCTACCCAAGTAAGACACGGGGCATGCAGGAGAGCGTCATCGATGCAAGTTAGACTGAGTATGGGAGGCACAATTTTTATAGTAAAAAAGAAGGAGAGAATAGGGATTTGGTCCAACAGGGTGGCTGAACAGGTCATTCTTAAAATGAAACTAAAAGGAAAGGAATTTCAAAGCAGGGCGTGTCTTCCCAGGACCGTGGTATCTTACTACGGCCCTGGGAAGACACAGTCACCAACGAACTGGGGAGATAACTGAGGCCTTTTACATTTCCAAGTTCAAAGACAACTGGGTCAGCGCGCCTTTGATAGATCTTTATGATTGTGAGTTGGTTTTTTAGGGGGGCTTTAACCTGTGACGATCATGTGGCGGTCATGTGTCGTGATGTAATTTTTGTTTTGTGTGACCACTCCGTTGGGCGTTTCTTTCAAAATAAACAGTTGACAGACAACGCTCCGTCTGGTGCATCTTCTCTGTCCTGTGTCTTGTTCGCGCTGTTTCACCCGTAAACATGCTTCACCAACTAGCCCAAATTTCAACAGTACACAGACTTGTACGCACTCCGTTACAAGTAACGAAATTACTTGTAATCCCTTACATTTGTCAGTAATTTTGTAACGGAATAATTATTACGTAACGGATTCGTTGCAGCCCCTTACATTTTCTCACGACCCCCCCCCCCCCCCCCTTTTTTTTCCCCTACAAAATAAAAATATAATGTTTTTATTTTGGTAAAGTTGAGTGCAGTCACACTGTCACGCGCTCTTCAGTTCTCCAAAGCCTTTCTTTACGACACCAAGCCCCTGAATCTATTCGAATCTATTTTTTAGACCCTAATGGCAATGTCAGAAAATCCAAATAAGTATTTTTACAAAAGAAAAAAAAAGAGCTTTGGCCCGGGGGGGGGGGGGGGGGGGGAGCTATATCAGCTCTTTTTAGTCCCTTTTTTCTTTGCGATCGAAGACGGGGAGAGGTGGACACCAAGTGATTGTGTGCCTCTTGGAGAAGCTCAAAGCAGTAGGCGCACAGACAAGAATTAACCATGTCCTTCTCGATTATAGTGACTACGACCATTTTTATAATGTCACCAATGTCCTTCTCGGTTATAGTCACTACGACTATTTTCATAATGTCACAACAGAAGAGAACGCTCGTCTACCCTAATATTTACTAAAAGAGATATGATAATAGGCGAAGGTGTTATTGCCACAAGCATCATCGTTCGTTGATACACACTTCTCATCTTGTGTTAGAAAACAGGATTCTTTTTCTGCTTCTTTTTACCTTATTTTACCCTGTTTAAAAGCTACTTTTTTGTAGTTCAACTTCTAGGGTTGGCCCACTTTATTTGTTAATTCCAGCCAGGTTATCTGCATCTCAGTCACCCTTTTTGTGAGTCGGCCTTTTGCGAGCACTTCGAAACAGGGGATTGTCTTCCTTTTCTCTTTTTTTACCCCTGCAGGACGCATCTTATTTCAAGCAGAGATTTTTACAAATAAAACAATATGGTGGCTGACGTAGACTTGAGATTCGGGGCTTGAGGAGAGAGTGAAACTCGTGAGTGGAGTCATAATGCGGCTTAGTTCTCTGCCCTTCGCTGCCCGTGGCATTAGCGGACATCTATCTGGAGAACACCGTCGGTCCGTGCTCCGTGCCTTTTCGAATGGCATCAAGAAAGGTACACATTTCCTTGTTTTAACCGACGTTCTGATTAATTGTTGTTATGAGTGTCCTGTTTTTTTTAATTAATATTTATATTTATATACTGAAAACGTTTTCTCATTACAGCTAAGCTGTATATATGACTCGTTGATCGGGCTTTTTTTGGGCCTGTCGAGAGAACAGTAGTCGACGAATAGTCGACAGAAAACTAGCGCGCGCGCCTTATAATTTATCATGGGGTATTAGCGAGTTTTAGCAAACCGTGTTTCCCCCTCCACTAAGCCCCTCCGCTACCCGGAACTCTACAGCCAAGGCCATCGGCACGCAGGCGCAGTGGAGGTTTCTTCGTAGCGGAGGGTTAGCGGAGGGGGACACACGGTCTACTAAAACTCCCTATTGACACTTGTTTCAATAAGAAAACCACAAAACAAGTGTCAAAACCACATGATAAATGACAAGGCGCGCGTGAACAATGCGAAGCACGTAGCGCTCCACGCATGCAAAGATTGCGGTTGCACAAGCTGCCGCGGAAACGGCAGCCGTACAAAGTCTTTTATATATAAAAAAGTTTTGGTACAGTGCATTTATATTTCTTTTGTCAATCATTTGGTATAGACCAGGGGTGGCCAGGCTGACCCGGCCTAAGAGCCGCAAACGAAACCACAAAGCTTCTGAGAGCCGCGGGGGGGGGGGGGGGGGGGGGGGCAGGTTCAAATTTTGTTCAGAGTCTGACTGTACGTATGAGTGCACAAGGCTGTACGACGGTACGTATGGGGGTACAAGGCTGCCAAACCGCGAGCCGTACTTTATTCTGCCTGAAATCCCTTCTTTTTTTCTTGGGGAAACGCGGAAAGGGGCCGGGAGGGGGGGGGGGGGGGGGGGGGTCCACTTATGAGGGATCCGCGAGCCACACTTGGACCAGCAAAGAGCCGCGGTTCGGCCACCCCTGGTATAGACCCTTCTGCTGTTTGCAAATATGAACTGCCGCTTGTGTCCTAAGCGACTTCCGGTCGCACCGTCTTTGCAAGCCTGTGGAGCTTGCTTATGTCACGAGTGCTAGAAAGCATATATATGCTACACGGGCAACGAAGTTGTACGTTTAACGAGGGCCTTCGGCTGTACAATATTACGTCTTGGAGGAGGCAAGTTGGTTCACAAGAATACTCGAAACATTTTGACAGATCTGGCACTCCTTCGCTCTTTTGGCGTTCACCTGGAGAATTGGTGTTTTAACGTTTCATCTACATTTCAAGCAGCTTTGTTTATTCTTTTTATAAACCGGAAGTTCTCTGGGATGTCAGTCGAAGAATAGAGCACCACCTGGTGGCGTTCGCCATAAGAAAAAGTCTATAGTGCAGTTCCCACAGCTTTGCTGTCCAACCACCTTCACTGCGTGGATTAGAGCCCAACTATTTCACCAACGTCTCAACCGAGGCTCGACTTGTACAGAACCAAAGGAAGAATATTGATTTAAACCTTATTTATTACTCAATTATCACCTTACTGTTACCAACTGTTTTGCTATTGTCTGGCAATATATGCCGGTACAGTAAAATGTACACGTCCCGTCAAAATAAAACGGAGCGCCGGATCGGCGACCGAACTGCATCGCTGCGCTATCTAGCAGCGCCGGCCGGAACTGATAGGCTACATCTGCGCATGCGAACGTGCCTTCCGCCGGGGCCTCCGTTTTCTTCTTCCCAACCACAAGGGGCGGTGCTCATCGACAACAGTCGCCCCTCTCTCCCACTTGCCTTCAGTGTTACCTCCCCGTGCGGGCCCGAGCCGAACACCTAGCGGTGTTTATCGGAACAGCGTTTGACAGCTCGAGACATCGGAACAGCGTTTGACAGCTCGAGACGCCGATAATGCGAGGATCAAACAAGAAAGACGGAGGACACCGTGAACAGCACGCGCGCATGCGCAGACGGCACCTATCAGTTGCAGCCGGAGCTGCTAGATAGCGCGGCGATGCAGTTCGGTCGCCGCTCCGGCGCTCCATTTTACTTTGACGGGACCTGTGCATAAATTAATTATTATTCCAGTTTGGCTAGCTGGTATGACAACTTCTAGAGGTTCGCGATTTGGACAATAGGGAATTTTCGGCAGATTGTTCCGATTACGCTACCCGATACTCCGCCGCCGCCTTTGCGCATGCATCATGTCGTTATCGGGGGTATCGGAGGTATTGGAACGATCTCCGATACTCTCGAATATCAGGCAACGGCTGCAACGTCGAAGGTTTAATTGCTCCATCTTCGAGGTAAATAGTACTGGTCGTTGCTTCGCTGAAGAAGCTCAATGCAGAGCATGAAGCATTCCTGAGGCACCATATGGAACCCCCATTCAGTGCTTGAGTTCAAAGGGCGTTCAGTGTAGCAGTCGGCATCTTCAGTAAGAAATCATTCAAAATGTCTGACGAGACTTTCGAGAGCCAGATATGTTGCTCAAAATACTCAAAGTCAATAAATAGAACAAATGGCAACAATATGAAGTCGAGTAACCCTCTTCCCTTTGTTTCTTACTTGAGGACAGTAATGTTGAAAGTAACGCCACGAAAGTAACGCCACGAAAGTAACAGATTACTTTTTGGGGTAATGGTCACTTACTTTATGGGAGGGTAATTGTAATTAATTACAATTTAGCAGTGAGTACTTGTAAATGTAATTCCTTACTATTTTTCAGTAACGTGTATAAGTCTGCAATGTACAGTGCCCCAATTTTTTAATAATATCAAGCGAGCGTCGACCGCCGGGACGGGCACTGCCGTGCCGCGGAGGCGTGCGGCGATACGATGCGATCGCTTTAGAGACACAGCCATCGTTCATTTTCTGCCAAAGCACACGAAGAGGTGAGCCGTTAATCTCAACTGACGAAAGGAAACTGAGGAGGCAATGAGAGCGCGTAGGGTACGTTGTTGGGCTAGTTGGTTCATCTTAGTAAAACATC